GAGAACCAGTTGATTGCATCAACTTATTGAGTCTAAGGCAATCCCTTACACCAAGCATGCATGTATTAACAGTGGAGAGGAAAAACTCCCTATTTACAGGAAGAAACGTCCAGGAGAACAAGGCTCTTTGTGAGAAGCCATCTGCCAAGGCTGCCTGGGTTTTTCAAGAACACAGAAGCAGACATAGAAAAAGGAGCAGAGATACAAAAGGCAACTGTTAACCAGCTCCACAGGCAGCCTTGTGTAGGAAACACACAGCCAGCCGGACGAGTTCCAAGCCAGCTCCCAGTCAGAGGATGAAATAGAGCACATACAGTAAGAAAAACAGGACTACACTGGAAAAACAAGCCAAGCTCCAAAATCAGCAAACAAAGGCTTGATGGCAGCAGCATAGCCAACACCATAGTGTCTCAGCCAAACAGGAACAGAGCAGATGAGGCTAAAGACCTACTCTTAGGTGAGTGGTGGCAGGGTGGTTAGAGGAGTGCTCTTGCACTCTGAGAAGGTTGCAAGTACCCGGTTCGATCCCCACAGTCTGGGTCCCTGAGCAAGACTGTTAACCCCCATATTGCTCCCCAGGCACCGCACAGTGCCAGCCCACTGCTCCCCAAGCAGATGGGTTAAGATACAGAAGTGAATTTTTCCATTGTTATATCAATGTTCAAAAAAGCAGAGAGAACACAGCGTTAGAAACTAAATTAGCAAATTCTGCAGAATGGAAGAATAGATATAGAATGAAGCATAATGATGAAAAAGGGTCCCTATGTGCTCCAGCAGTCTAATCCCACTCTTAATATAAGCTTCATCAAAAAGGAAATTTTTAAGCCTATCCTTAAAAGTAGACAGGGTATCTGGTAACACGGAATTTGGTATTTTGTTTGCTGGACCAACACAAGGTGAATTTTGAGCACTTATATAGAAAGGGGGTTTTACATATTTTTGAAAACAAACATCTTTCATGTTTGGTGATAACATGTATTTATTCCCCTTTATTATATTTCCCCCTAAATTAAATTAAGTTCGTCAGTTTATTTATATAGCACCAATTCACAACACATGTTATCTGAAGGTACTTTTCAAAGACAATTCACTCAGATCATACAATCAGATCTGTAAAAAGTTTCCTGTCAAAGGAAAACCTGGTGATTGCTTTGAATCATGACTATAATACTCGCTTCTCCTGGATGAGCATGTGGCGACATTAGATATTCACTTGCATGTTTTTTTGCTGACTCTACAGCTTTTCCACACACTGAGCATGCAAGCGGCAGCAGAGGGGAGGGAAAACTCCTTTTTAACAGAAAAAAGCTCCTGCAGAACCATGCGCTGTGTGAATGGCCTTCTGCCGAGGCCGACTGTGGTCCAAGGAGAGAGAAGAAGACATACAAAATGAGCATAGAGGCACATATCCATAAAAAAAAATGATGTCAGAAAGGGTAAAGATAAACTAGCTTGACAGGTGTCTCTTGTCTAGGAAAAAAAACTGTAAATACAGCTATATTTGAAAGCCTCTGAGATTTTTTAATTGTAAAAAACTGGTCTATTTAGCTGTGCAACACATAAAGAAGTGGCAAAAGGAAATAAACAGTTGCAAGAAATTACTGTGAAAGATAATGATCATCATCATGTAGGGGGGTAGGGTTTTTTTCTCCTGCAGGGACAAGGAACTTGGTTGGATCCAATGAGAAATTAGATGTAACAATTTCATAATAATTCTAAAAGAAAACCTATTGGATTCTGCAAGACTGGGAAGAACATTACGCCCTTCTAGACAACAACCATTATCATGAAGCCAGGACTACAGTTTAATGCTTTAGATCAAAGCATACTCACGGTTAGAATGATCCAATCAAAATCCAGACATGGAGGAAAGACTTATAGAGAAATACTCCATGAGATCTGCATTTGGCTGATTGCTTAAAATCCTAATATGTCTTATTGAGGTTTCTACTTTAAACGTGAGAAGGCAAGCAAACTTTTAGGGGGTATGATCAATTTGCAAAGCACTGATTTGATCATTCCTGTTGTTATAATTGCTGATATTCCAGAATCACATCTACAAAAGAACAAAGAAACGATCTTACCAAATCCAAAACATGACTTATTGACAGGCAAGAACACATTCCTGGTGAAGAAAACAATAAAACAGTAAAATCCATCTGGACTGCCTGAACTCCCCCACATCTCGAGAGATGCAACAAAGAAACAATCAATAGAACAGAGCAAGCATGAGAGATTTTACTATCTGCGGGGCTCTGACACGGACCTCCGCGGTGGTGACTAATCTAATTGGAGTCAAAACAGACTCCCCGACTAAGCAGTGATTCAAATGGAAAAAGGAAAGACATGTTGGGAAGAACCTCTTCAATCAGTTAACATTTACAGATTACTTTGTTTGTTTTTTTCTTTTTATTGATACACATTTTTTGAAAAAGTCAAGTTAACATTCATGTTTCCTTGTTATGGATTTAAAAAATCTGCTTCTCTCAGGGGGAAGGTAAACCTAGTGTTTCAAAAGTCTTTACACTGATGTTAAACTAGGCTGATAATGCATGGAAAGGACGATCATATAAAGATCAAATGCTCTGTTGTTCCCCAGATGCAGCTTTAATTTTAGAAATATAACTCAGGGAAGCGGTATAGGTTGTGTTTTGACTGAGGCTAGACAGGCAGATGTCAGATGATGTGAAAATCTATTCAAAGCTCCATCAGTTTGTAAACTGCATTACAAACAAACATATTTATTACTACAGAAGCCTGATACTTTTCCTGTGTTGAGAAGATTGAAAAGCTTTTGCATCAAGTAGGCAGCGTTAATTACTCAAGCATGAATTATTTAGCCTCTAAACGATTGAGTAAAATCAAAATGCCCGCAGTCGATAGCTGTTAACACTTGAGAGGTCTTTGGACTCCCTGTGGGGGGATTCCAAAGCTAGTGATGGGTTTCATCTTATACACAAGACGAGAAGACGACACCAGAGCTAAATCTTTAGCTGGCATGCTGAATCAGCATCCAAGGTCCCCGAAGGCATCATCGTCTCAAGTATTGACCATATTTTGAATGATTGGTGAAGGGTGTGAGGACGACAGGTAGAAAGAAAAATATGTTTTGGAAAGTTTCTTTTAATTCCTGACGTCTCCAGGTTGTAGATGTGTTTACTTTTATAGATAATTAGTGAAATTATACTGTAATTACAAATGCTATAGACACTGCTGAGTTCTAATGTAATCTAGTGGAAAATGTAAGCACAATCAACACCTGAGATCTGTTTATCCCTGCCTGTCTAAATGTATGTATTAAGCGGTGCTGTGACCTTTCCCTTATCTGTTTTCTCATTGCCCATTAAAAAAAAATCACTGCCCCTGCTTTCAGCTTAATTTCTTTCCTGGAACGTTATATTTTATTTGTTCCCTTTGTATTTCTTTGACCATCGAAAGTAAACCTAGCTCAATGGTTCTATGTTTAGTTGTTTCTCTTTCCTGGAATGAGCCATTTATAGAGCTCCTGGAACTGAGACTACTCTTTGTTTTTGCTTTTCATAGAAAATGCTTAAATATTTTGTTTTATTTTAGATTATAATAAATATTTTTTATAAACCCTTCTGGTCTTTCGTTAGATGGCCACTCATCCAGAGCCAGGTGCTGTATCAAGTGTCAATATTTCAAAATATCTTGATTCTTGATGAGCGTTGTGTTTTATTAAAAGAATAGGTTCTTCTCCACATGTTTGCTTGAGTGAGGATTAATAAGTTAGATACTGGGTTTGAGTTTGGTTGAATTCACTTAAATTATACCAATACCAACTAAAAATAGGGAATGCACAGTAAAATGAGCAATAACATACATGACAAGATTAAGTTATCCAAAAACGAATGACAACTTTTACCTATACATAGAGAAGAATAGAAGGCAAGCTTATTTGAACCAACTTAAAAAATAAAGAATATGTATACTGTATTATGTTCTCCAGTCTATTATTATTCGCATTAGTCTGTTTCTCATTGAAAGTTTTTTTTTAAGAATAAAAACGTTTTTCTATGCCTGCTACTAGATTAATTATTTCATTCCTGATTAGATGTTATGTTTCTTCAGGGATCCGCATTTTGCATTCAAGTGATGAGGCGTCACCTTGTGGCAAACAGTCTGAAGTACAGTTGATAAGATTTCTCTCTCTGGCTTGGATAGACGAACAAATGCACTAATGTCGTTTAAATGTATTTATTTCAAAAAGAGCAAAAAAAAAGCAACAAACTGTTATCTATTTATCTAATTTGCCTGATAAAAATGTAAATTTCTTTAAAAAAAAAAACAGCTAATGAAAAAGATTAATCCAAGTACAGTTGTAACAATAAATGTAAATCTGTTTAACACAAAAAGATGATTTTTCTTAAATTAAATGAATTATTCTAAAACTCTGTTTATATATTTTCAAAAAAATTGCACCCAGTTTCTAAAAACTTTTAAACATCTAGAAAGCTCTTGAAGATTACTGACTTTTTCATTTAGGTCAACCCTTTAAAAATCTAATGTTGGAGGTAATATTGTTGGCCATATAAGGATTTTTGCCTTTTTAAAATGCATTTTTCACAGTTTATGCTTAAATCTTTCCAAACATATCTAGTATAATGCATATTAGTTTGTAGTTTGGCAGTTGGGAAACAAGAATTTGAATGTTATATATAAGCTGTTCAAAGCCTGAGCCTTTAACTTGACACTGAAGCCAGAGAAATGTTGACAAAGTCTCACAGGGCCCCCTCGGTTATTCTGGCTGCACCAGTATAGTATTAACTGTCCCTGAATGACTTGAAGATCTTTATCTCTAATTTTACAGTGATTCCTTGTCATTATTAATTAGCAAACACACATTACACAAAAGGGGAAAAACACTTGACTCAGTGGTTTCTGAGATTCCCAGATTGTTTTTTCTTTCTCTGAACAAGCAGGCAGCTCATTGAGGCCGCAAGTGTGTAAACACAAACTTGTACTTTGGAGCTATGGCCCAAAGATTCAGTTGGATTTACACTGAAAGTGAGAATGGCAGGAGCTTTTTTTTCATTGCTCCTTTTGTACTTTCACCTCAGCCCCGGAGGTATTAAATTACTTTCTATGATTTTACCAAAAGAGGTGATGATAAAACTCAGGCTGTATATTGTATGTTTTTTTATCCAGCCCCAAGTCCAGTATTTCTCTCTGAAAAAACAGCGGACAGCCTCCTCAGCAGACATAAACGTCATAATACTGGGATCTTTGAGGAGTTTCTGGAGGGAAACTTAGAAAGAGAATGCTTAGAGGAAAAATGTGACCTGGAGGAAGCTAGGGAGATATTTGAGAATGATAAAAAGACTGTAAGTATTTAAGAATTATTCTTACAACAAATTCTTATGCATGCTGGCCGTGATCATTAACTTTGTGTTGTTTTAGATGGAGTTTTGGTCAGGTTATATAGGTAAGATATCTTTTTAGAATGATTAATTTGAAATGTATATCTAAGAGCAAAGAACATGCTTATTCAGAAATAACCTGCAGGGATTACCTGTATTACTGGATTTCATGTGTCTTTTTTTATAAAATGGGTGATTAGGATCCTGTATTTGACTTTCTTCAGATGGCAATCAATGCGACTCAAGCCCATGTCTTAACCAGGGTTCATGCATAGACCACCTAGGTGACTATACCTGTAACTGTAAGTCTGGATTTGCTGGCAAGAACTGTGAGATCGGTGAGTGAATGCACTTTTTTTTTTTTTTTTTTTTTATCAACTAAATTAGATTTTCCTCAAATACATACGTGAGCAAAATTTGGTCACATCATGACATCCATTTTGAGGAATAAAACCAAATGGTCTTTTCTTCTGTTCGTTAAATCGAATTAAACAAACAATCTGGATTTAGGATACAGTATTGAATTGTTTGTATTTCTCTGTGTTCTGAGAACAACAACTGAAGGAATGTGTGTACAGCAAGCAAACTGAACTGGGTTATGTGATGCTATGCAAAACAAGTTTCTAATTTGCTTCTTGCATTAAAAAATAAATCACTTTATATTCTCTGTATGGTCAGCAGTGCTGGAATATAACTTACTTTTCCACTCTATAAACATAAAGAAGCTTGCAAAACATTTAGAAACACGTTTTTCACATTTTGTCATGGAAAACTAAAGTTGATGTATCCTATGAGGGTAGACGATAGACTTACACAAATAAGGGTATAACTGTAAAAGTAATTTATACAGAAAAAAATCCAGAGGTGGTACCCAATAACTGTACTGAAGTAAGACAAGCATTGCATCTTTAGGCAAGTAAAAAGTAGCCATCTAATAAAATACTCAAGTAAAAATAAAAAGTACCCAGTGAAAGACAACTCAAGTAATGAGAAAGTAACCTACATTTGATTTTATATTTTGGAAAATTGAAAACTAAGTAAAATTACACCAGATATAAAGTTATATACAAATTGTGGTGTTTCAACCAATGAGATAAAATGATAAGTCATATAACATAGTGTGATTAAACAATAATAATTTACAGTGAAAGAAACACTTCTTGAATTTGTATTTTTAATATTTTTTTTCTTTTAAAATTTAAAAAATATATGATGATAGTGCGTGATGGATATAGGTTAGGATAGGGTTAACCGCTTCCAATAACAAGATATAGTTAAACTTTTGCTGCTGTTATACTTAACCTCTAAATGACACCGCGGGATCAGCTGATTGAAAATAACAAAAAAGTCATCTCATGTGAACATCAACAGTAGATGTGTCTGTATGGTTCATTTTTTATTTTAAAACTGAGGTCAATTACTCCTGATGCAGCAGAAATGTTAAGTAAGAGTAATGAAGCTTCATCACATTCTTTAACTCAAGTAAGAATTACAATGCAGTACAACGACTCCTTTTTCTTTTTTTTCAAAACGTTAGTCAAGTAAATGTAACCGACCAAATAACTTGTTGCAGATCTCTTGCAGAATCTACAAGTCTGGCAGGAATTCAAATCAAGACCTCTTTATTCTGACATCCCTGAATAAAATTCAGTGGCAAAAAAGCTGAAACATAACAGTTTAAGTTTCTAGTCTGTCACAAGGCAATTAGTGGACACAGAAAATATGTTAAAATGCAATCAGGTTTTCATGTCAGGTGAAAACAAGGTTGTGCGTTTGGCCTACATGCAATATTACAACTGGTAGTACATGCTATGAGTGGCACTGTAACAAACTGTTACTGCAAACCCCTCATAACACACTATCTCTTGGTGAGATAGTAAGACCAGGCTAAGGCAATGGCTAGGATCAGCTCACACAGGTAAGCTGTTGGAGCTAATCACAGGGCAGCTAAGGAGGGCAGCAACTATTTTATAAAGAATAAAGAAAAAATACTCAATACAGATATACCTGTCTGACTGTGACATACAAAAAAAAAATGAAGCAGTAATTACATCATTTTTTTTTTTTTTTTTTTTTTACTAAATATTGATTTAGAGCTAATTTTTTTTAAGGATTCAACCACAGGTATTTGAGAAGTTTTTAAAGTAAAATGCAATTTGAAGGTGAAACTTTAACCAGGTTCTGTTTTTTTTCCTTTTGCCCAGAATTAGTAAAAAGATGTGACGTAAACAATGGAGACTGTATGCATTTCTGTGGCACAATGGGAACCCTCGGAGCAAAATGCTTCTGTGCAACAGGATATAAGTTGATGGAGGATGGAGTCAGCTGTGAGGCAACAGGTTTGGACTTTTAAATTAAATTATTGTAATAAAAGATCAAGTATTTGCTGTTTAATATTTACTGCTGCTTTTCTTTCATAATCAGTTGACTACCCTTGTGGGAGAACTGCATATACTGTTGTGAGCCCATTCAAGAGGTCTCTCTACATCCCTCGTTCTTCAGACCACTCGAGCACCACACCTATAAATGATATTACGTCTACTACACCCTCCCCTACAACAGCCAGCATCACAGAGCCAGTTTTGGTTACAGATGAGTATGGTGACATTTTTCAGAATCAGTCTCTCAGTGACCTCCTATTGAGAGAATCCAACCACTCTGAAATCCTCTCTGACAAGTCACCAGAACCTTTCAAACGTATAGTTGGAGGGCGGGTAGTCACTCCAGGAGAGATTCCATGGCAGGTACTGTTTAGAAATATCAGGAACTTTATTGCAACCTGCAAAAAAGTAAAGAGTCTATCCCTTGGTCTGTTAATCTGTGTTATTTCCAGGTTGGTTTGATAGCAAATCCCAGTGGTCTATTGTTCTGTGGGGGTTCCATCCTCTCAGAGCGATGGATTGTCACTGCTGCTCATTGTCTGGTGGAGGCAAAAGGCTCCTTCTTCATCAGAGTAGGTAAGATGGTACACTTAGCTGCTACAGTACGTTATGGTAACAGTAGTCTACTGGTCAAAATAATTAAAAGTACTGTTTGTACAAGTTGAACCATTTCTATATACTCTAAATAAACAATTAACTACTGAGAAAGAATAAAGAATATTAAGCTTAAACGAAAATTGAATCCGGAAGACTCTTATCAGCTTCAGTCAATCAGCATCGGTTCTGCACCTTCTCCAAAGCTAATCATCTTTAAAGATCCCCTTCATTTAGCTCCTGGCATAGCTTCTCTCCTGCACACAAGTTAATTCCTACCCATCTCCTCCCTCACTCTCAGACTGTTCTCAGTTCCACTCACCCCCTGGCTTATGCCACCACCAGTGCCCAGGCCCCAGAGGGAAGATTATAATTCTTTTCCTAAGTTACTCATCTGGGGGGAATATCGATTCTCAGCACTGAAGTCTACTGCCGGGGCCCGAGCAGCAAATACCTTTTCTCATTCATGTCAATATCTGTATGTCTGCTTCTGTCTCCTTGAACCCTTGCCTGAGTGATAAATCCTTCACTGTGTAAAATAAACATAAAAGACCACGGGTTAAAATACAATGGTACCATTATTAGCTAATAATGACACACTATTATTATATCTAATAACTATGCAAACACTAAACACTAAGGTAAATAAGCACAACTAAATAAACAAATAAAAGGGTAAAAGGGGTTTAAAGGTCCATTCAAAAGGCTCAGAGAAATGTTCAAGTGTTAAGGCTTAATGCATTCAAAGTGTCCTTTAAAACAGTAGCAGATGAATTTGAATAAACCCTGACGCAAGAGATGTTAACCGCAGTCAAAAACATTTCATTTGGTTTCATTTGGTTTTACAGTAAAAACCAAACAGTGAATCAGGAATGCATTAAACAGTGATGAAGTAGCCCATGACGTCTCCCTTTAGGTACAGTGGTTAACTGGTAGCGGCAGCTCTGAGGCAGCTGCACCAGTATGGCATGAGCTATTTGGTCCAGCGGTGTTCCTTCAGTAGTTTAATTTAGGTCGACCAGAGCTGGATAAGCTGTTCTGGGCTACACAGTGAAGCGGTGAGTAGTACTGCTGTCTTGCAGCAAGAAGGTTCCATTTAGATTCCCGGCCCGGGTCTTTCTGCAAAGAGTTTGCATGTTCTCCCTGTGCATGCGTGGGTTCTCTCCGGGTACTTCAACTTCTTACCACAGTCCAAAAAAATGGCTGTTAGGTTTAATTAGCTTTTAATTTAGGTTTAATTTCTCTAAGTTCTGCTTAGGTGTTAGTTTCTGCGTAAATGGATGTTTGTCATGTTTGTCTCTGTGTTGCCATGTTAAGGGTGTACCCCGCCTCTCGCTCACTGAGAGCTGGAGATAGGCACCCAGCACTCCTCGCCACCCCAGCAGGGATAAGCGGGAGGGAGGGAGGGAGGGAGGGAGGGAGGGAGGGAGGGAGGGAGGGAGGGAGGGAGGGAGGGAGGGATGGATGGATGGATGGATGGATGGATGGATGGATGGATGGATGGATGGATGGATGGATGGATGGATGGATGGATGGATGGATGGATGGATGGATGGATGGATGGATGGATGGATGGATGGATGGATGGATGGATGTTGCAGCAGGCGGGTTCAGGAAGAGCTGCATTTAACTTGGTTTGATCAGCTCCTTCTGAATGGTAATCTGAGTCGGTCCAGCAAGCACAGACCTCTCCTGAGGAATTTGGATGCTATTTAGTGTAGCTTTCAGCTGTAAGTAAATCCATTGTAGGGGTGGGACTTCAGGAGTCATTCCTGTTACATCGTTGACATCTCAGCAATATAATTCTGATAATTCTATGAACTGAAAATTAAAGACTGGAATATTCAGAGTGAGATTATGCTTCCTCAAAGAAAACAAAACTCACAATAAACTTCATGTCTTTTCCCCACATCTTTATCAGGTAGTCAATAATCATAGAAGCTGCTGTATGTGCAGAAAGCAATTTATGACTCTATCTCTTTAGAGTTCTGTCAAATGCTTAATGTAATATCTGTTTAAGAGAAGAAATTGTATTTCATATTCGTAGAGAGTAATTTATATCAAATTTCTCTGCCAACAGGGGAGCATAACACTGATATCAAGGAAGGTGGAGAGCAGGATTATGAGGTGTTGAAAGAGCACATGCATCCACGCTACAATGCAAGTTTAAACTTGTACAACCATGACATTGCTCTGTTGTTCCTGAAAGCCCCAATTAACTTCTCAGCAACAGTCCGACCAATCTGTATTGGACCAATGGCTTTCATCGAAGCCTTGTTAAAGCAACCCTCCCCCGCTACAGTGAGTGGCTGGGGTCGCACACGCTTCCTTGGGTCCACTTCTAATATCCTGCAGAAGATTGAAGTTCCCTTCACAGATCAGACAGAGTGTAAAAGAAGCAGCAATGAACGGATCACTCCTTTAATGTTTTGTGCTGGATACTATGATGTGGCCAAAGATGCCTGCCAGGGCGACAGCGGAGGTCCGCACACAAACAGCTTTCACGGCACTTGGTTCCTGACAGGGATTGTAAGTTGGGGGGAGGGATGTGCAGAAAAAGGGAAATACGGTGTATACACACGGGTGTCTGTTTATTACAGTTGGATGAAGCATGTGATGAGTGTAACCAAACGTAGGCTGGCTTTTGACGTGGAATACCCAGACTCATGATTATGTATGTGTTCAAGCACGTATGTTGATGTAGACCACACATTTGGCACCTCTGGTACATACAAATCACTTAGCAATAAATTAACCTTTAAGTGTTGCAATATTACAGTAGCTCATGCAGAAAGATTTAAAAAGAATCCAGCACTTTCTAATGTGGTTAAAAAAAATGAAAGAAAATATTTAAACCAAATTTCTGGTGTCTATTTTGTTTTTTTCAAACTAGCTGTTAATACTCTACAAAAAATATTTTAAACATATAGAAAAGTCTTAGTCTTATCTCAAAATGTGTCATATGAGCCTCCGGTTAAACACACAGAAATTTGACTTTGGCAATAGAATCAGTTTGTTGAGTTTGAGTAAATGCTGAGGAGGAAATTGAGCTACGGGTGCTTTGTGTTTGACCAGAGCCACATCTAAAAGTTACCGGATGTTGATCTTCAAGGACTGAAGTTAGACATCCAATCACTAAATGTTAAGTAATTTTCTCTTAACCTCTCCTCTTTTTAGATCCAAGGTCCCCAAACTTTTCAGCTTCTGACCCATAAAATGGTGCTAGAGGTTATTCATGATCCAAAATACTTGTTCAGCATACAAACATTTCTACAAAATTAATTAACCACGGATGTAATATTACAAACATAATCAACAACCAAAGTAGTTGGTTATGTCCATTTTTAGGGATGATTGTATCTCTTTAAGAACTTAAGACTCCATACAGATTTATCAAGAATCCCAAATGGCATCATGACCCCCACTTTGGGAATCACTGCTTTAGATAATCCCACGTGGTTTTTACAGAATGAGATTCTCTGAGCAGAAGGTTGATTATGCGTCTGGTAAACTGATTGAGTGCCGATTAAAAAACATGTGTTTTTGTGTAGGATCAAAGACTCAATAATAAACCATTATACTTTTTTCTGGAACAAGTTACCAATATGTATTCTCATCACCTACTGCTCGTTAAAGCAGATTGTGAAACGATGCACTCTAAAAAGGGACACAAAGAGTTTGCATAAGAAGGGACCCATAGCATGACAGAGTGATTGTCTCGATAAGTCTTTGTCTCTATAAAAACAAAACATACTTGTAATTAAAGTTCATATTTTCTTTGGGTAGGAAAGAAAAGACTTCTGGAATCCTTCCAATCAACATGTCCGCATGTTGATAGTGTCTGATGTGTTTAGGAAGACTTTTTTTTAAAGTTCTCTCTATACATAAAAATATACTAAAATCATAATATTAAGATTTATTATTTACATTTGTTTTTCGGGAACAAGAATCCAGACTTATTAGTTTTACATTGGTTCTTTTGACAAGTTTGTTTTCAGCTATCCTAAAAAGGGTTATTGCAATATATATATGTTAATATCATCGGAATATTTTTTATAGAACCACAGCTTTTCAAAATAAAACAAATAGAAGGTCTTATTACCATTGTCCATCTGCCATGCATTTTCAGACAAAATACTCAGCAACAAGCACATGTTTCATGGCTCAGCAGGATTCAAACAAGTTTTTTTGCTTACAGTAGGAATATCTGTGCAAACTGTGCAGCATTCTGGAGACAGATAGAAAAAGAAGAGAAGCCATCTTAATATTGTCACTTTACTTCAACTGAAGTTTCACCATAGTTATGCATAGCTTTTTTTCTAAGCATATGGAGATTTGGTTTCCTATGAGACATTAACAGATGCTTTATAATATAAAGCAAAGCTGATGACAGTATAGAAAACATGACCATTTTAGGAGGTGTGGGGTGTGCAGCAGCCCCTGTTGCTCTAAGAATTTGTTTTAATTTTAAGTATATATACCGGTAGTTCATGTTTGTATGGGATCCCTTTTAACGTGGATAGAAATAGTTACTGAACTATATTCCTGAAAGAGAAATCATCTTCCTTTTGATATATTTAAATACAAATTTGCCTAATTTTCTCTCACACCTCCTCCATCTTTATCGGCTGTGCTTTGAATGGCAGTCCCCTTTTTTAAAATTTCTGAGGAAGATCAACTGCCGTTTTGTGCTTGGCCATCATCCAAGCAACAATTTGCCTTTTTTCTCTATCATGTTTATTAACCGTGTTTCACAACATGAACTACTACCACTCATTCATGGGTAAATGTGTCCCCTGCCTTCCCAACCCTTCATACATTTAGGAATACAAAGAGGCGCAACAACAACAGGATGAAAACATAGTTAAAAAGGTAAAGCAGCAAGCAAAGAGCACATTCAGTAGAGAATAGGTGGTTTTGTAGTTAAAGGCCAAAGATCATTATATGTCGTAACTGAAATTAAAAAAAGCTTAAAGTATGAAAAAAAGAAATTACACTGCTTTTCAAAGAGGAAAGGTACATTTAAAAGCACTTGTATGAAACAAAAAACATTTAACTACGCTATTAATGCGCTTGGAAATTTCTGTTATGACAGACTTTTGTGAGAAGAATATGTTAAATGGCTGATGCAGTATGATCTACAAAGATTATCCAGCAGGGAACATGGATAGAGGGATAGAAAATAAACCAATACACAGAACGAGATTTCTCCTAACTCAACAAAGCAAAAACTATGTAATACATTTCTTTTATACTTCAGGATTATTTAACAATTAGTCATTTTGGAACAATAACTGCAGGAAAAGGAAATGACACAGTTCTTGCTAAGGCAACGATAGGTAACTTGAATGAATAGTCAGCAGCCAGACAATAGATGCAATCAAGGTTGTCAAAATGTTTCCTATGTGAATTCTTACATATACTCTGTCAAAGATTGTTTGATGTACACAGATATGAATAACTCACATGTGTAACACAGTTGTTTGAAGCTGTTGTTGGTGAAACTATCTGCATGTCTAAACTGCACTACTGTAACACAGATAAAGAAAAAAAAATGTTGATAATACACCGGCTGATTGTGTAGAGAAAACAGAGTTGCATAATTATTGCATTGCTTCCTAATTAAAGTTATTCTACTGACACAGTTGTAAGAATAGAAAGTGTTGACACCTGTGTGCATCAGAGTAACAAAGCTTGTCAGACCTGCAGCAGAATTTCTAACATCAGTTTAACTTCAGTTTTTCTCACTGTTTGTCATTTTCCAGAGTGAAATAACAAACAGGCTAGGTTCACTCTACAGTTCGTTTAAATCCCTCCATATAACACATTTCTTGACAACATTTTTTTCCAGGCGGTACATAATCATACAGATCTTACCCTAAAGGCATTATATTTGAGCTGCAGACTTTACTATGCTTTCACTTTGGATAGTCTTTATATTATGGACCATCACACAATTTAAACATAAAACCATCTTAAGCAGCATTTGGCTGCATTTTCAATTACTGTTTTTTCTTCATAGTTCTCAATGTCATTACTTTCATAAGCTGCAAGCATCAACGCAACAGAAGAACACAAATGATGATAAATGCCCTTTAAATAAAATAGAGCTCACCCTTTTAAAGTGCCTGATAAAGTTTTGTGAGGTCATTTGGAATGGAGAACACAGATTTTTTTTGCAAAAAGCACATAGAATCCCTAAAAGATCGGAAATATAAAGGCAATAAGGCATGGCACATTTTGGTATTTAAACTCTTAACTGTATGGAAGAGTGGTGACATGAGAACGAAAGAGTATTTTATACAGACGTGAAAATAATATTCATTAAAAGTTTTATAAAAAACAGTACAATTTCCTTAACAGTTTTAAGGTTAAATTCATGTTTACTGTACATCCCTTAGGAACAAAACAGAAAGAAAAGCTCTTAGGAATAAAATAACGTCAGGTATTAGGAGGGAAATACGGAGCCCAGTCTTTGAGTTGACGCATTACTGAAGCAGCAAACTCATATGCTGCATCCATAGTAGAACAGGAAATGCCAGAAGAACAAGAGAGTTATTGTACATCAAAAAGTAAAAAGAACATGATCCGGGTAAGCTGTTGATTGTCCAATAGAAGCGTACCTGCTCCTGTGGCTTTGAGGTGATTGCTAAAGAGATCTTTATGATCAAAAAACATCAGTTTAGGAGATTAAAAGTGAAAACTAGGAAAGCAGCAATTGAAGAAAGCAGCCTCTTTGAGGAGAGGAGTTATTGGCAGCCTCAGTTATGAGACAGCTATGACTCAGTCTGTTCCATCTCTGCTCATCATCCAGCATAAGATCGTCATTCATCCTCAGTTCTTTCTTCTCTACGGGGAGCTCAGCTTTCTCACCTTCAGGTTCCCTGGGTCTGTAAGAATAAAGTGCAGGCTTTTACAGGATAAATCAATTGAGAAGTTAAAGATAACTCAAGAAAGGAGATGATAAATTGTCTTTACCTCCTAGTCTGGGAGAGTGCTCATGGCTGCTGTTTCCTATGATGAGCTGCAGACAGGCAGCTGCTATGAAGCCCTCCAGCTGCCGACTCAGATTTTTCACAAGCCTTTCCATCACAGTGGTGAACGGGGGAATTGTTTTGAAAATTAGGATGAATGAAAACACAGTGCATTTTGTGTAGCTTCATTTTTAGTTTTTAGAGCCCTTTTTAAGCCTAACAGGACAGTTTATTGAACATTCCAATGAGGCTCACCAGCGCCCCCTGTTGTCTTCACATTGTAGATGGATGACGTCTCCACGCTTGATGATGATGCTGCCTGGTCCGTTTTGGGGACAGTCAGCCATAGCTCTGTACTTGCCTGGAGACTGAAATAGATTTAAAAAAAAAAAAAAAAAAAAAGGAAGTTAGTGACAAAACAAAATCAAATTCAACAGCTAAAACTGCTTTACTGTGAGATTTTGAAAAATACAAGAAGCTGGAAATTTTTTGAAATATCAAAAACACTTCAGTAAATAATTATTTCAGAATCACATAACTAGGAGTCATAAAAGAGTCTAGATATCATGATGATATATAACTGGTCTGGAAAAGTCCCAGATGTTTTAGTGACCATTAGAGAAATGGAAGACAGACAATAGACAGAGATAAAACTGTGCAGATCTTTAAAGACAGGTTATGGTTTACAAAAGTATCACAAACACTGTTCAGTCCATCATCCAACATTTGAAAGAGTGATGAACAACCACTAAGCTATCAAAAAATACTGAAATGGAGCAGTTATCAAAAGGATAACTATTTAAACTCCCCAAATCATTACCTAAGGAGAGTAGCTACAAGAAAGCAATATGAAATTTAGCATTTTGTTTATCACAAGTTATTTGGTGATCAAATAAACATGTGGTAATAGGCTGCTTAGAAAAATTAAAAAACAAACTTTTCGTTGGTAAAAAACTAAAGCATATTGCCCAAATTGCATCTCTACAGGGAAACCATGTTGTGGCATAACAATGCTGTGGATGTGTTTCATTTATCAAAGACAGGGATGCTCCTCAAAGTTAGTGGGAAAATGGAAATAGCTAGAATAGCCTAGACCTGGGGTGCTAAAGTCCAGTCCTCAAGAGCTACCATCCTGTAACTTTTAGATGCATCTCTTCTCTAACACACCTGAATTGAAAGACTCAATCCCCTCATTTAGCCCAACAGAGGCATGGTAACGAGCCACTCATCTATTTCAGGTGTGTTAAAAATGGGATGCATGAAAAAGTAGCAGGATAGTAGCTCTTGAGGACTGGACTTGAGCAGCCCTGGCTAAACCCAAGTCCTGACGTAAATCATACTCTTGACCTGCGCTCTGAATAAACCCAAATATACACTGCATTTTGTTCTACTCAGCACTTCTCCACTCACCTTAATTACCCTGGGTCCACTACGCTTTACTAAAGTGAGAAGCCCAGAGGTGTTTCTAGGAGCATGCACAAATGGCACAAGAGAAGTTGGTCATAAACCTAGAGGTCAGACCCAAAAAAATCTTTCCATGGAATTTAAAACTGTTAAAACTGCTTCTCTTTTGTAATTATATCATACAATGATTAAGTACACAGAGAAGCTATATTTGCTATATATATATTTGCCAAGTGCTTGATCTAATTTATGTAATTGCTAATATCAGCACATATGCATAAATACATTTAGAAGTGTCTTTAAGAAAACCTTGTTCCTCTATTGTATTTTAGTTTCCTGTTAATGTGACACAAGTTGTGTAGGTTGATAGTGATATAACTCTGTCCAGCAAAAGTAGAATTGAGTCGAATTTAGCTTGAGAGCCGTCTGCTTGCTGCCATTGTTCAAAGGCAGTGTACAGTAAATATTCATAATGGTTAAAATGGGTGCATATTTACAGTGCAAGTCAGGTGGAGCAGAGCTGGATGGAGAGGAAAGTTTGAGTGACCTTGCAATGAAGAATATAAAATATAAAATTGAACAAAGCTGTGAGAGTATAAAGTAGAGTAAAGTGGAATAAAAATTGGCTCTAAAAACTCAGGGTAGGCTAACTGTCATATGATGAATACTTAATTTTTTATCCACTATGTTGTATTGTTCTATTATATAAAATAACAATAATTTGTACGATCAGGGGAATCAATACATTTTCCCAGGCGGTATTATTTAACTGTATAGTTTAACTACTATCTTACCAATTTGAGCAAATTTTTCTCCTCTATCTCAGAAGGGAGGAAGGCGTCCTGATCTCCAGACCACTCCTCGCAGACGTCTACTGAGTGATGAGCTCCGGGCCAACCTAGAGGCAGACGTTCTGTTGAAGGTTCTGAACAGGACTTTTCCCTTGCAGTACACCACAACAAGTACTTTGTAGATACTTAGTAACTATGTTAACATTAAAGGACCTCATGGCCACTTACTGGGAGATTAAAAAGAATGTTGAATCAAAAGCTAATCTCATTAGCTTTTTCCCCCAAAGTCTTCGATGTACCTGGTTCTTCAAGTCAAAGTACACCTGAACGGCTGAGGGTGAAAGGTCAAATATCTAAATTAGTTTATGATGGTGGAGAACTGTTCAAAGCAAGTATTTCTGCCATCAGCTTCCCTTGGATGTATTTTTCATGCTGTTGTTACTAAGTATCTACTTGATTATAAAGCATAAAAGATGCATCAATGATGTTTTTCTCACTCCGGCGGTTGGGCTGGTGTTTAGGGGAGTGAGACTGGGGCTCTGGACTGCTCCTTCCTGATTCAGTATCCTCTGAGCTCACTGACGCCCTCTGCTGTTTGCTATGAAATCATATGAAAAAGAGAACAGGAGTCACACATCACAATCATGCTAAAAACAATGACCTCGGACATTAAAACTGGGGTTAGCTTTATAGATATATTTTAGAGTAAAACTGACCCCAGATAAAAGTAAATAATATTTATGTTATTATCTTTCTCACAAAGCATAAACAAAATGTGCACCAGCCAGTTTAAACAGAACCCCAGTAGCCAGTTGTAAGAGAAAGCAGAAAGCAGAATTTACAGGTCTTTAATAGATTCATCCCACAGGGTTCTCATAAGTCTACAACAGCTAAGTTCTGGTCTAGGTTTATCAGAATCCAAATTTAAGTAACATATAATTCTCTTTATTAAAAAACAAACAAGCCAAATCTTGACAAAATGAAAAAAGTAACTATTAAAAGAAATGAACTAACATTTGCATAGCATGCACTTCAGCAATTCTAAAATGCAGAATTTACTTGTTTTTCTTTTTTTTAACAATGCTACAAAGCCATGGAGGGAGCTGCTAAGATACAGATTTTGCAAAGTGAAATGGGTTAAGAACCAGAATGGAGGCCTTAAGAAATGAAGGGGGGACAGCTATGAATCAGTAGCGCATCACAGCAGCAGAGGGTTTCCTGTCCTCATGCCATGATCAGGCGAGCCAAGCAGAGTTTACCACTGAGTGTTATAGCAGATCAGTGGAGCTTGGAGCAGCGGGGACGCGGCCGGGGCCATTGCCGGGGGCTTCGGGGACGGGGGCTCTGGGACCTCAGGCACAAAAACACATCAGATGACAGAGACACAAAGTCCAGCCCCGACAGACAGCCCCTGGAGACCCCTCTGGACGGCCGCATACCCCTGCAGGTGGGGGATTTGGAGGAGTGGGGATAGGCAACTAAACAGCAGTGAAATATGAAAAGACAGGCCTTTGCCCTTTTCAAACATTGCCACACACAAAGCTACCAAAAAAAAGAAATCACAGTTCACATTAACTTTGAATTAGAGGGTTGAGAGGCTGCGTGTGTTTGCACACGAGTATATTCTTATGGTTCTATTCATGGACCAACCACATTAACAGCTTCTAATCAACCATAGGCACTGACCTTTCAGTGAGTGATGGAGAAAGCTGCATGTGTTCAGCCAGTGGGCCATGTTGATGTGCTTCGTCTATAAGAAGAGGAGGAACAAGATGTTTTGAGGAAGATTTTACATGCAAGGAACTTCAGAAACACTCAAAACTGTAATCGAAGTGGGTTTTTTCCCCCTTTTTTTAGGCTGTGCAATGTGTATAATGAACGTCTTTATAGACCAACTTTATAACATACAAAATATATTTCTGTCACTGCTTTTCCTGTACCGATACTCTCTTTTTTTTTTTACTTTGCTTGGAGGAGTAGGGATCAGAAATGAGTAGGGCGGGAAATAGCCAGTACTTAAGAGACTGATACATCAGCGGGCCGATATTTTTCACAGATTTTAGGGTTTTGTTTTTTTTCTTGTATTAGGATCCAATACATGCATAGATACTTTTTTGGTGCTGTTTCTAGTGCCAAAACATCTGGGACAAAACACAACTAATTTCTTATTTTTTAGCTAAATTTTACACACATGCCATCAAACACCTATCCTTCTGTTTTCAGTGCCGATCTTAGCTGCTTAAAGCTTAGCAAAAACTCTTAAGATATAATTTTTTTTTGTTTTCTGCACATTTGTCTCTATAAGTGGCACCTTCTTACCACATCACTGCCTATGTTTTTATAATTCGTACTTTTTATAATTTGTACTAAATGAAGTTTGTGAGAAATAAATTTAGCTTATCATTGTTCAACGTTTCTGACGGCCTTATAGAGAAAGATCCTCCAGGAAAAGCCTTTATCTTGTCGATAAAAAGGGTCATGTGTATTATATGCTCTGGTGAAGCTCCATGGAGTTGCAGAGCAATTATTGCAGGGTTGCAGCCTAAACGAGTGCACCAGTTTGGGAAAATGTGAATGCTTATATGCATTTTGTTGCAGATTAATATTTTCAAATGTTCTCTTCTTTTTAATTTTTTTTTTCTTTATTTTGACAATAGTAAGGAGAGAACCATAAGGCACAGGAAATGAATGCATTAAGTCAACCAGGCTACAAGTTGGTGGAGCTTCATGCCTACTTCTGCAATACCAGTTTTCTTTATGAAGTCTTGGATCTTCAGGAGGCCACTGCCGCCTTGACTGGTGTTTTATGAACAACTAGAGGCACATGTTTTCAGTTATAAAGTGGAACTGTATTGTGTAATACACAAGTGACTTCCCTTTAATATTCATTGGATCAGAGAACAAGTTGGTCTTTTTAATTTATTTGTCCGTATTGTAATAAAGCTGGTTAATGCAAACCTCTAAGCAACTTCTGCTGATTGGTCAAAATTCGGCGGAGTTCATTGAGCCAGGCCATCTTTACTTCCACCGTTGGAGCCTGAAAAACACATACATCCCAACTGGATTTTCAGAAAAAAATTCATTCTGATTATTTGGCTACTTCCATTCAGTTGTAATAGTTTGCTCATTAAAATGCTGATACTGTGTATAAATCAATCATTTCGTGCATACAAACATCTTACCTGAACCACGTAAACTTCCTCCCTTCCACTGTACCAGATCTCAAACTTCTTTACATCACCTTTGACATTCTCTGTGATCCCCACAGCAGTCATCTGCCCAGTGACAAACATGCAGGTTTTTAGAACGATCATCACAAACAGTGCCGCAGAATTACGTCATATAGCACATCTTTCCTGTTTAAATCAACAAACAGTGGCTCTTTCAGTCACATTGCTGCTGTGTGACTTCTTCCTTCCCATGTCCTCAATAATAAATCAAGCAGCTGCAGCTGGCGGGTAAACGCCAGATGTGACACTCCTCACATCAACAGATAAAACTAAAAAGTGTCAGAGAAGACATGTTGTTCTGTAGCCAGGAGGGTGGTAGAAAGATATCAACACAGACAATGCTTCAATCTGAGTCATTCATAAACAATTTCCCATCATCAATATTTTACTAATGAAGGGAAATGCATATGAATTGGGGGATTTGACAGAACAAGAGGAAGAACTGTAAAACTGCTAAATCAAATTTTATTTAAAACTCTGAAAGGGTTGCGTGCATTATATATATATTCAATGTTTGAAACAGGTTAAACACATTTATGGCCCTACACAGTAGATCACAAATATATGATTTATGCAAAATACTTTTATGCAACATGCCTTTTGCAAATACGTAGATTGATGCATTTTTTCAAGTACTGGCTCATTATTTGAGCAGCATAGATCCGGACCCTCTATGTCAACCCCTTTACTTTGATCCACCTAAATAGAAACCAGTTTAACCAAACACCTTCTCATAAGACTCTACTTAGAATTTCATAAGGTAAACTACTAAGAGGTTAGGGGTAGCTGTTGCAGAAATATGGAGATCCTAAAGTTAGCTGAAATATGCTGTTAGCAGGGCAGATATAATTCGTCTTTATGGATGAGCAGTGGGGAGAATAAAGCTGAGTTAAAAATGCCATATACTATTTAAAATAAAGTTTACCAAAAGTCATGTACTGTAAGGGGCATTACAGAAAATGGAGAAAAATAGGGCTCTCTGGTTTCATGAGATTGAAATAGACATTTTTATCCTAAAGGTGTTTCTCCAACAAAGTAAAAAGTGATTAGGGAGAGTGATGAAGCCCATACAGGACAATCTAAGAAGAAAATCCAGTGGAAAAAGTGGAAAACTATTATAGTTTAAAATTCCAACAGAGCAAAGACTCTAAACACAAACAAAGTGGCTTAAATAGTTATATATTCAAGGCACTGGAATGTCATAGTCAAAGCAAATTCAAAGTGAGAGAATCTGTGGAAATATTTAAAATTGTGGTTCATAGTTGTTCTTCCTTTAGTCTGACTAAGCCTGATCGGCAGAGATGGGAAGTAACGAAGTACAAATACTTCGTTACTGTACTCAAGTAGATTTTTCTGATATTTTTACTTTACTTTACTACTTATTTTTATGGCGACTTTTTACTTCTACTCCTTACATTTTTACACAAATATCTGTACTTTCTACTCCTTACATTTTAAAAAAATTGGCTTGTTACTTTAGTTTTGAATAATTTCAATGGAGTTACTGTTATTATTTTTCACGTCATCAATACCAAATTCAATCTAATTGGATGGGAATCTACATTGCATTTGAAGCACCACTACAAGATGAATCGACAGATTCGGCGGTATTCATTGGCGGCAAATCATTGCAGCTTGGTGGCGGTGGCGTTAGCATAGTAGCATGGACGACGAGATGATTGAAAATGAACACAACGGAGATCTAGTCCTATTGGCAGACATCCATTTAAAATGTAGGCAACGGCATGAAAAAAGTGGTTTCTACTTTTACTTTTATACTTTAAGTAAATTTACAAGCCTGTACTTTGATACTTTTACTTGAGTAAAGAAGTTTAATCAGTACTTCCACTTTTACCAGAGTATTTTTTAACACAAGTATCTGTACTTTTACTCAAGTACGGAAAGTGAGTACTTTTGCCATCTCTGCTGATCGGTCATGTATATGAACAAATATATATCTGAGTTCAATAAACAACCTTTAGACAGTGCTTGAAGCTGTAGGAGGGAGTCTTGTCGCTGCTGTCTCCGTGATCCTCCCTTCTTTTACACAAAAGAAGAGCCCTTTCATACAGGAAGAAGTGTCTCTGCATTGGTTTGAAGCGAGCCAACTCCTTCATCCGTGTGGGACCTCTTTTGTGGCTGATCCACACGCTAAAAGAGCCCTGCATGAGCACACGGCCCAGTTCACAGATTTCCCCCTACATGTGGAGAGGGAGGGACTTCAGACTTTTGGAGATATATCTGGGTCACATTTATTGAGAAAGAATTACAGTGTAGGGATCAGGACATAGAAGAAAAGACAATGTTTTAACCTCATATCCTGTAATTGCAATCTGATGCATGGAGTCATTGACTGACTTGAGCAGATCCAGCATGGCTGTCAGTGCCTCCTGCAGCTCAGAACTACCCTCACAATCTTGGCTGTACTTCAGCAGCTCCTAAGAATATAAACATAGGAAAATGCTCATGCCCAGAAATGGTGTGTATATGCATAAAACAACATACTAAACACACATAAAACATACAAAATAAATCTGATAGTTAAATCCTGGCTTTTTTATTTGTTGAAAGCAAATTTGAGGTCTGCCTCAAGAATAATACGTTATCCAACAATAATGCGCTTTCTAACCTTGAGCAGCAACTGGTATTTTGTGAGCCGTTGGACTGGTTTCAGCAGGTAGGAGTCCAGGCCCAGTTTGTGCTCCAGCTTCTTTTGACACTCCTTCATATTAAAGACAAATATATTTACCATATGGTTCATTCAGTGTGCCACTGACACATCCCCAGTTTTAACTTGTAGAATTAATCACATATATCACAATTATTTGTATTAATTATACACATAGTTGGATTGCAAAACTAGTGCTCTGACATTTCTTTAAATAATTATATTCTTGATTTTTTTAATTTATTATTATTTAGCATAAATAATAATAATAATCAAATATTTTGTCTTACTTGGACAGCAGAAATACAGTTAAAACGGTAAAATAACTGAAAACTTACCGAAAAAAAGGGACACTCTGAGAACTGTCTCCATAGTGCTTCAGAACGTGGCTTATTTTGACAGTACATTTCATACATCTGGAAACTTTCTTTCTAAAAATTGAGAAAACGGGATTTTTTTTTTTTAAACTGCAAAAAAGAAAAGACTTATGCTTTCTAAGTATAAATATTTATAATCTAACCCGATGGAGGAAACAAGTTCCGACAGCTTCAGGTGCCTCCAGACACCCTTCCAGGTCTTGAAGGAACACTCTAGATCATTAGAGAGAAGATCAGCATGACTTTTTTTTTTTTTATCAAAATAAAGTGATTGATATAAATTTCTGTTTTATCCTGTTTATCCTGTTAAGGGAATGAACAGATCTCACTTTGAACCATAGCAGTCATGAATAAAGCTCTATGTGATATTCTATATGTTACAAAATGAGGCCTGAACAAAAAAAAAAGATTAAGAGAGACATTTCTAAGGCGCATATATTTGTATATTTAGTAATTCAGTAATTCAAGTAATTCAGATTATACATTTGCATATATTTTACCTGACGCAAAAGTCAAAAAGAAGTCTGATTTATGTAATATAAAAGCATAAATAAATAAATAAAACTTAATAAATAAATATAGTGTTATGCCAACAGTAGTTTTATTCCTGCATTTATTTATTTATTTATTTTGCTTTAGTTTCACTTTCAAGCCTCACATCTGTGTCAACTTCAGTTTCTTTTCCATTATTTTTGTTGTTTTTTTTCTTATAGTTTTATTTATCTTTAGAGTCCTGATCAACTCTTTTTGAAATCTGTCATATAAATGATTATGATTCAATAATATTGAATGAAAAACATGGTTGTAATTTTGTGTTCAAACAAACACTGACTCTATTTAATAGATTAGTGGGGGAAATTATATTCAACAAAATTTTACTTTGATCATTATGAATCATAATGATCATTATGAATCATAATGATCATTATGAATAAACAAAAAGTGCAACAAAAGCATATTTGATATGATACACTAGCCTACCTGTCTGTCTGTTTTTTTACTGTACTAGAACTGACAAAAATTGGCAGTCTGTATGAAAGGGGTATATCTTTTATGTATTTTATTTTTTAAGAACCCTCATGACATTAAAATGAAATCTGATTTATTCCGTTTTTTGTAACCATCTGATTATTTTTATTTCTATCTATTTACCTAATAAAACCATACTAAAAAAGGACATTTAAGAAAATGTGTATTGGGATCCAAATATCTAGCTTCTCTGGTCCATGAAGTAAGCCTGGGAAGAGAATACCAGCATCCACTGGTTTTTAATCTGATTAATAAACCTGCCTGCTGTGAAAGTTGTAGATCTCAGGCATGTTTCCAAAGAGAATATCTTTTTTACTGCGTAGAATCGGTGGCAAAAGCGTCGACAGAGATGGGTTATCCATCTCAGCCCTGTAACCCTGCAATTTCCAAAGCAGAAAAGTATGTTCAGAAAACTAATATAGGTGACAAAAGTAAATATAAGGCAGCATTCAACTATCATCCTCTTTGAACTGATTCCTACCAGTAGCACTGACAGCAGCTCCTCCACATAGATCCTCTCAGTCTCTATAAGTTCCCTCATCACATGACTGAGACACAAACAAACAGACAAACATAAAGAGACAGCCAGAAGGCATCATTAGCACACAGCAAAGAGAATCACAGAGTACATAACATCAAAAGCAACACTGAGGACAGAGGGGCGGACGTGTTTCTCCTCCTCACCGCTTCAAGAGATCCGGGCTGTCATCTCCATCCAGACTGTACGACACACAGCTCCGGCTCTCCTGGTAGTCATGCATCACCTCTATCTGAAAACACCCGAAAAAGGTCATTACTGAATCTAAGATTTAAAACAAAGTTATAGTTTGTCTTTTTCTTTTTTCTTTTTTTTTAAGGTGGGGTTCTGTTGGTTCTGTTGGTCTGGCGGTTAATAACATGCAATGGATAACTCTTTTGGAATGTTCGTTAGTAGAAATACAAATTAATAGGACCCAGGGGTTAAAGTTTAGCGCTAAAGTAAGAAGGATGATTTCTTTTAGACAAAAATGGCTGCAACAGAATGCACCACTACAAATCTTCCTGTGTAAACTCAGAAAGGACCATATATTTGTTATTTGTATTTGCCCCTGCTCACATTAGGGGCGATACAGCTATTTTTCAGAAATGTTACATATTTTCAGGTCATTTTTTTGCAGTCCAAGATGCCTGCCAATGAACAAAGAAATTGAAAATGCAACTTAATCTACAGGTCCCAATTTAACTAAATAGAACTTTTTAAAATTATTTCTACAAATTGTAATCATTTGGCCTTACGATTGTTTTTAAATGAAATGTTAAACAGACAAAAGGTTACTATGGTGAAAAAAGCATGAGTCAAATAGATTTCATCAGGGAGTCCCTGACAGGAACCATTACAGCAAATCAATAATTACTATGAGATTCTTTAAATTAATATTTTTTCTCTAATTTAATCAAAGAATTACATTTTAAACATTCCTTGGCGCCTTGTAGAGGCCATTAAATATGTTGTGCTATGAACTAACCGGTTGCTGAAGGAGGTAACTGCTTGTTTAATTACCTGGACAATTGTCTGATGGAGCAAAATTCCAAAATCTAGACTCTTGGTTTTATAGGTTTTTAAATTAATAAATTGTAATTTGGGCCAAAGACTTAAAAAAAAAAAAAAGAAATTGGGTTTGTCCAAAGGGAAAAAGGGCATGTGCTCTAGCACCACCTAGTGTCTACCTGTGCACATCCCTGCTGCAGGATAACCAGAGTTTACCAATTCTAAACAGGAAAACAAAAAAATGAAGAAACAGAGTTCCTTTTTACTCACTTTTCTGGGGTTTGGACTTTTTCTCGAGGATTTTTTCCCAGGAAGAGAAATGTCAAATGTGAACTTTAAACCATCACCTGTAAAATACACATCGACTCATTAGTTAAATAACTGAGTATTACTAGAGAGTAGCATAGAAGGTTTCAGACACTGTGGAGGCAAACTGAGAGGACAACTAATTCAAAACCCTACTGTAAGAGTAAACAAGAAGAACCAAACAGATTCCGTTGCTGATTGTTCAATAACTGAAAAATAAATGCATACTGAATCTACTCAGGGAATTGGTAAAAAAAAAAAAAAAAAAAAAGGTTTTTGTACACTGAAAAGAGAAAGATCTAAGACATCTACACAAAAAAATGTATTTGATGAAAATTTACACAAGATTTGAAAGAAGTAATTATGTTTGTCTTAATTTATTGTCCTGAAATTGTCATCAGCTGAGGTCCTGGAAGGTTTTTATCACTTCTAAATTTATGTTATGGCTCATTTGGCCTCATGCAACAATATTTTCGTATTCTTATCTTTAAATTTCTCTAACTTATTCTCCTATGCGTGCGTTCCCGAGAAATGTAAATCTGCATAATTACCGCCCTGATTTTTCCATTAGGCTACAAATCCCCACACCTACGTGTTCATTCATAGAAATGGCATTGAAGAGGGAGAAGAAATACTTTAAAGGTTTGCAGATCGAGGTCTGACTGAGAGCTGAGCAGCAGAATTAAAGGACCAGTAAAAAGCCAAGCAGTGGGGAATAAATGACAAGAGATATAAAGGAGGTAATCGCGCAGTTACAGAAATAAAAATAAAAGAATAAAAATACTATAAAAATAAAAAATTATTTGATCTGAAAACAGTCAATAAAAACTACTGATGGAGGCAAAGGTGAAACATACGCTGAAAACTTAATATGAGTTCAACCAACCTGACAGCCCAGACTACACAGACTATTGCTTCAACGAAACAAATGTAGTCATTTAGTTAAAAAAAAAACTATGTTTGAATAACAGCTGACTGATTGCAAAAGATTCCTACATACATAAAGTCTGGAGCACTAGTAGAAACGTTTGGTAAAAGCAAAGAGTTCTTTAAATGTCAACATAAAAAAGCTGATTACTAATGTTTGGCTTCACTCTTTGTTTTTGCTTTGTTTTGCTTGTGTTCTTGTTGCACAGGATGATCTAAAAGGTTCTTTAATGATTGACACAAGGTTGCATGGCGGCTGTTGATCAGTCAGATATTTCCCTGTGGGCTGACTCTTTGTATCATTTATTCTTTTGTAGGGGTCGAGACACAAACCCCCCAGGGCCGTTCAAGCAGGCGGTGGTAGGACCCTGTGATTAGATAAAATAAGAATGGCCCCTAAAGGAAAAATACAAGTAGTTGAAAGACTGCAGTCACTATGAAATGGGTAACAATATGGATCCCAAAACACACATTGGAGGTTAATATCAGTCTTTTGCACACTACAAGTTGCCGGTCCGATTACCTGCCAACAAGGATCCGTTTTATAGGGTTATATCTATTTGAAACTAATTTATATAAAACATATCACAGATAATATTGTAATGCCTTACCGTGCTTTGGAGAAAAGAGTGGGGATTTGGAGCGGGGTTGGTTCTCAGGCCTGGGGGCCACAAGCTGGATCGGTCGCACATGTCTGTCTGCCAGCTTCCTTAAACAAGCTTGTCGGTTCTGGATCATCTGCTGCACTGCTGCATGCTTTTCAAAAACGTTCCCAATCTGAGTCTTACAAGGACACAGAAAAAAAAGCAAATGAAGCAAAGATGAAGAGAATAAAGAAATTATTTAGCATTTAAGATAAGCCAACCTGTAGGTGAGGAGTGATGACTGCCTCATACTCCATAGCTAGAAAATCATGACCGGAGCTCAACATAGACGGCGCTCCCTCAAGGAACTTATCTATTTCCCTTAAAGCTATCTGGGCACCCTCCTTCGACTGGGACTTGTCTACTAGTTGGTTCGCCAACAAATATGCTCCATCATCACACCAAGTCTGGGCCTGGAGGCAGAAAGCACAGAGATAATGTGCATTATCTGTGTTTTTCTTTGTTTAAAAATGCTAAAGTTATGCTTTTAATACCTGCCCAAGACAAAGCAGGAGCTGGTGCATTTGCATTAGAAAAGAGTGCTTGGACTTCAGAGCAGCAGAGAGTGTGTCGCAGTGGTGGCGAAGCTCATTGCAGCGCTGCATAATGAGCGCCATGGCATAGTGGTGACCTGCTGATAGCTGGTGTCCGTGGAGGATGATGATCTGGGCCCGTGATATCACTTCCTGGTTGAGAAAAAGTGGGAACACAAACTGGAGTTAGTGAATCAACAGTGCATTCATAAAGTACCATCTAAAACTTAAAAGAAATAAATAAACGTATTAAAAATGAAAACATATATTATTAGTACAAGGTATATAGTTTATGCAATATGTGTTACATGTGTTTCATAAATACTTCCTTATTAAGAATCTATTTTATCAGCAAACACGACAGGAAAAATTATGGATTTTCCTTTTTTTTTTTTTACTAATACAAATCTGGAAAGTGTGACTTTACTTTGTACCATCCCCTTTACTCCAATTAAAATGCACTCTAATTATACATCAGATATTTGGTCTACAAAAAACAGAAGCCTGCATGTGGAAAACTAAACTAAGCATTTTGTTGTGAAGATTCATCATGAAGACTAAGGAGTGCCTCAGACATGGCCTACCCTAAAGGTAATGAAACAATATTTAAAAACTATGACATTTAAAAAAGTCTTATTCAACTCATTAGTTGTAAATAAAAGATTTTGAAGTAACTGCAGACCCACCAAGAAATGAAGTCCTATCGAAACCTACAGGCTGAGGAAGGATATAAATTTAAGGCATTTTTCTTTACTTTAAGAATAAATCCTAAGTTTAGATAATTCTAGCATTTAATCAGGCAGATGTGCAGAAATTATTGTGGTGGGATATAAAGATAAATAATGATGAATTAAGTGAAATAAGTAAAAGCATATATGGAGAAGCTGAAGATCAGACTGAGGCATACTGACCTGTGCATTAGATTCCAGGCTGTCGAGCCTTTTGAGAGCCTGCTCTGTTTGGGCCAGCGTGCTCACATTTATGGAAAGTTCTCTTTCTTGCTGCATTAGATGCTCAAGACATAATTCCATCTAAACAAAAGGACAAATCACACTATAAGAACAAAGATCGACACTAACCCTGGTTTTAACACATACAGTATGTAGATTAAGCTCTTAATTAAGTATGGTTTTGAATGATATCGAGATAACTATCAAATTTCAAAACAGAAATAATTTTGATTCTGATTCCAATCACTGCTTAGGTTATGAAGTGATAAATATCATAGTCTTTTATTTTTATCAAATGTCAGCCTTAAGAAATTCATCCCGTTTTCCCTCTAAATGGGTTGAATCTAAGAAGAAGAATAATCTCTGGCAAATATACAAAAACATAACCTCTCAATATAAAATATGTGCCAACTTTACCTCCTTAAAGCTTTGCTCATATCTAAGCAGCTGAAGGTACTGATGGAGTTTCAGGTGATGCTTCTCAAAGAAGCCGTCAAAGGCCAACTCCATGTCTCTGAGCTGTGCAAGGAGCCTAACAGAGGAACTGTCAGTCCATTGTAGTAGAGGTGAAGTAAATAGATGTATTTTAGGAATACAGAGGAAACAGCAGACATTATTTACCTCTGTACTGTCTCCCAGTCCAGTTTCACATCCCACTGGGAGTCATCATCTTTCCCAGTTGTTTCCAGGTTGGACAGAAGATGGCAACCTTCCTTTGAAACAGACCTTATTGCATCCTTCCAGAGAGAAGTTTATATAAGACATGCAGCTCCAGGTCACATTTGTTTATGTAATTAAATGCATCTTGCAAAAATCCTCACCTTGAGCTTTTTATACTTTGCAGTGTGAGTCTCTAAGAGGTGCTCGATGGCTTTTCCCTCATCGGGTAGCTCTGCCTCTGCCAGCTCTGTGCCAAAGCCTTGTAACATTTGAGCAATGTCTTTTACCGTTACTGCAAAACTTTCAATAGCCTTTCAAGAAAAACAGACAAAAAAAAGAAAAACATTTAATCATTTGGTGCATTTTTATCCTCAGCGTTATTCAGTAACCTAATGGAAGTGTTATTATAGATAAAAATTTAAGTTAAGTAAGTAGTCTAGCTCCTTTGTGAATCCTTTACCGTCCGTAAAACAATCCAGTCACTGTGACAGTAGTCCAAAGTTCCTCCAAACTCTGATGTCAGCTGATTTTCATCAATGTAGCGGAGCAGGTCTGTGACAGAACTCAGCATCACCACCTAAACAGGTAGAAGGAACTGAGCCCTCACAAAAAGACTGTGCCTCTTTTCAAAAGATCTTTCAGTTTGCAGTTGTTAAAACACAGTTGATTGACAGAAAATGATAGATCTGGAACTTAAATACCCTGATGTGATAGATGATATGACTATCTGGCATGCTCAAGAGAAGAAAACATATCATTCTCACTTAAACTATCAATTTGTATTAAATAATAGCATAGGACAATATGCTATTTAAAAATAAATATTGAAACCCCTGTTAGTTTACCACTAAATATTTGACTTATGGCGCTCCCATATGTAACAATTAATGAGGTGTACCTTGTCATGAAGTGAGACAAATTTGGTAACTGAGGAGTAGCTGCCTTACTGGCATCTTGAGCATGAAGTCATCCTGGCTGAAGCGGAAACCAATATCTGTTACAGTACGATGGAAGAAGCTGGTGGGTCGGAGCACCAAGACCAGGTGGAGGTTCCCAGGAAAGGAGGCCTGGATGAGCAAGAAAGAAAAGATACAATTTCAAAGAGAAAATTTATATTTAAAATTTTTTGGCAGTTTTTAAAGCAGATACACACTTTTCTGACACAAAGCACTACTTGTAGTCTCACCTAATTGAGAAGATGATAGGCACCAGGGGCGTCTCTAGGTTTAAGAGACAAGGGTGGCTCAGCCCCTAGAAGATATTGCGCGCGCCATGCGCGCGCCGAATTTTTTCAGTGCACCTGCTAAGGCGATGTCTAAGACAAGGGTGTAACTTTGTTTTGAAAGTTGGTGGGGACGGCTCATAAGGAAAGGGAGCTACCTGCGCGACGCCTTTTTTTTTTGTTGGAAAGGATAAAGCCAAAAAAATGCGAATAACATTTATCAATTTAATGCTTACAGTTGAAAACATAACTGTTACAATATTCACTTATATATTTTGTGCAAAAAATATCACATAAATCTAAACAGACAGTACAAATCAAAGAAATCAAATAAATATATCAATTTTGTAGAACATTTATTGACAGTCAATTTTGGGTCACTTTTTAAAATTAATTTACTTTTAAACCAGGACTCGGACAAGATCTTATGGGGCCTTAAGCAGAATATGATTAAGCAACTCGTCTTTCTGGAACATCCACCAGCAGGGTATCCAGGGGGGGATTTACCATTAGGCAATACTAGGCAGTTGCTTAGGGCCCCAAGTTCCTGGGGGTCCCATAAAACTCTGTTTCCATGTATGGTTAATACAACTAATCCTTATTTGTGCACATTAATTATGTTTTTGATAAAAATCCTTTGGCTAAAATGCCATCAGAACGCTGATAAATAGAGAGGAAAAAGGGACAAGAAGAGAGGGACAAAACCTAGAACAAATAATGGATGTCTATTCTATTAACATTTCTCTATCTGTAGAATGGGTCTGTTTTATGGGTTTTCTTCTCAGGGGGCCCCCTGCCTGTCTTTGCCTAGGGCCCCAAATTTCCTAAATCCGCCCCTGAGGGTATCAATACTGATTTGATAGAATCTGGGAGAGCGGACCATGTTCAACCATCCATTTTCTTTAACCTTATCCCTCAGTGGGATCAGGAGGTGCTGGTGCATATATCTCTAGCCACGTTCTGGGTGAGAGGTGGGATCACCCTGGAGAGGTCACCAGTCTGTCGCAGTATGTTCAACCAGTTTAAAAGTAATCGGTAATCAGATTTATTATTTGCACTTTTACTAAGTGAACTTTCTAACTCCCTTAAATCTGAAATTCCAATGCCAAAATTGTTTAAATCTTTTATCTTTGGACCCCCTGCAGAGTGATGTCACACCTACAAGATCCTATCCTTACCTTCCTGCTAGATTGCAAAAAGCAGCTTGCTCATGAGTTGTCAACTTAACACGCTAAATCTTAAATGTACGTGTACATATAAAAGAAAAAGGGGCGCAGTGCTTGCAACTGAATGGCAACACTATCAAAGTCAGGAAAAAGTTTTAAGTAAAGCCGGGATTAAAACAGTAGCTATAAGAAGCTTCAAATAAAAGGTGTTCTTTATGTTCAACCTAAACACCAACTCCGATAGACCATCAGTAGAGCAGGTGTTTAAATTAATCAATTACTGCTGCGAAAGCTTATAGCAGTGAAAGCTAATATACCACAGCCATCACTTAATAAACGCAAAATAAACAACCCTCTAAAAACGGAAAACTGTAATGGACTGAAAGTCCTGTTTTTTATGTGGGAAATTATTTGCGTGTGTTTTAGTATAATTCTGATATATTGGCGCTGTTGTCTGTTTCTATGGCAACGATACTGAATATAGTGTAGCTTAGAGACCTGCATGGGTCGAGTTTTACCAACCCGCACCCGCCCGAACCCGTTAGGATAACTACCGAACCCGACCCGTCACCCGCGTATATCTTCAATTTAAATGTTATGGGGAGAGGGCGGAGGGGTATGAGGTGCCCCCAGGGACATAAATCAGAATTAACTTGCATATACACATATTAAATTACACTCTTCCATATAATATACAGAAAACCTCACACAAACACTAGTAAAAAGCATTTACCTCTTATATAATCTACTCAAAAGCTCTCATGCAAAGTAGTGAGAACTGTTAATATAAACTGGTGAAAAGCTTTACCTTTCATACACACTACTAGAAAGCTTTCATATACACTATTAGAAAGCTCTCATATACACTATTAGAAAGCTCTCATATACACTACTAGAAAGCTCTCATATACACTATTAGAACGCTCTCATATACACTATTAGAACGCTCTCATATACACTATTAGAACGCTCTCATATACACTATTAGAACGCTCTCATATACACTATTAGAAAGCTCTCATATACACTATTAGAAAGCTCTCATATACACTATTAGAAGGCTCTCATATACACTATTAGAACGCTCTCATATACACTATTAGAAAGCTCTCATATACACTATTAGAACGCTCTCATATACACTATTAGAAAGCTCTCATATACATTACTAGAAGGCTCTCATACACGCTACTAGAAAGCTCTCATACACACTACTGAAAAGCTATTAGCGGATTTCAGTTGAAACGGAAGGTGTTTCAGTGAAACAGGAAGGACCGTCATTACACCGGAAGTTGTTTTAAACGGAGGTCATTCTGGCTAGCTCCGTACATTTTGTGCTATCTCCGGCCGAAATTGTATTAAATAAAATTATTGATTCATGCTCAGCTATCCGCTAAACAACTCACAGAAGCATGGGCATTACTCGACTTTATTTTTTATGTTTTTGCTTCAACAGAGAGCCTTTTCCGGTGTTGTGCGAAATCCTGTTCCCATGTGAAAATCTGTTCCACCTGTGTCGGGAGCGCGCCGCGCATTGCAGCCACATAAGCGGATCTGATCATTTCCCAGGCCTTTCGGATCATTTCTTGGTTAAATAAAAAGTCGTAAAATTATACAAGGTTGAGACATTTAGTTTAATCAGCCGCTGTTGTTTACAAAATTGTAAAATAAAAAAAATAAATGCGGTTTTCTTATGCTGTTTTGTGTTGTTATTTTGAACGCCAAGAGAATCAGTCTCTTTCCAAGTTTTGTCACTTCAGCCTGACAGAAATAAAAGTCAAGTCACCAAATACCAAATTTGTATTTATAATTTTTTATTACTGATATAAGATGATGGGAAGTGCCTGATAGCAGTTCCATAATATGGAAACAAATTAATTTAGCTGCAAATCTTAAACTGTGTTTATTCCTCTCTTCATCAACAACAAACCATCTGGATTCGGTGATATTTGAGCAATGTTTGCCTAAATTAAAGGAGGGGGACCATATATTTTAGCTTTCTAATAGTGTGTATGAAAGCTTTCCAGTAGTGTGTTTGAGAGCTTTCTAGTAGCGTGTATGAGAGCGTTCTAGTAGTGTATATGAGAGCCTTCTAGTAGTGTATATGAGAGCGTTCTAATAGTGTATATGAGAGCGTTCTAATAGTGTATATGAGAGCATTCTAGTAGTGTATATGAGAGCTTTCTAATAGTGTATATGAGAGCGTTCTAATAGTGTATATGAGAGCGTTCTAATAGTGTATATGAGAGCGTTCTAATAGTGTATATGAGAGCGTTCTAATAGTGTATATGAGAGCGTTCTAATAGTGTATATGAGAGCATTCTAGTAGTGTATATGAGAGCTTTCTAATAGTGTATATGAGAGCGTTCTAATAGTGTATATGAGAGCGTTCTAATAGTGTATATGAGAGCGTTCTAATAGTGTATATGAGAGCATTCTTGTAGTGTATATGAGAGCTTTCTAATAGTGTATATGAGAGCGTTCTAATAGTGTACATGAGAGCTTTCTAATAGTGTATATGAGAGCGTTCTAATAGTGTATATGAGAGCGTTCTAATAGTGTATATGAGAGCATTCTAGTAGTGTATATGAGAGCTTTCTAATAGTGTATATGAGAGCGTTCTAATAGTGTATATGAGAGCGTTCTAATAGTGTATATGAGAGCATTCTAGTAGTGTATATGAGAGCTTTCTAATAGTGTATATGAGAGCTTTCTAATAGTGTATATGAGAGCGTTCTAGTAGTGTGTATGAAAGGTAAAGCTTTTCACCAGTTTATATGAACAGTTCTCTCACTACTTTGTATGAGAGCTTTTGAGTAGATTATATAAGAGGTAAATGTTTTCACTAGTTTATGTGAGAGCTTTTTACTAGTGTTTGTGTGAGGTTTTCAGTATATTATATGGAAGAGTGTAATTTAATATGTGTATATGCAAGTTAATTCTGATTTATGTCCCTGGGGGCACCTCATAGAGGGGGGTGATGGGGAGAAAGCGAGATGCAACAGATTATTTTTTCTGAGTTTTTTGTCGGGGTTTGTGGACGGTGAGCAGCGGGGAGAACTTTTTTTACTTTCTTTCTGAGGAGCGGCATGAATGGGGTTTTAATCAGATATACACAGCACCGAAAGCAAAATACGTGTACAACATATTGGTGGGGACTGTCCCCCTACCGGTCAAGATTGGTGGGGACATGTCCACACCAGTCCTTAAGGAAGTTACGCCTATGATTGTTCAGATTAACTTGTCTTCTTTATGGCTTTTATTCGGTGCTTTACTGCATTTGTTTTGGGAAAATATGAGGAAAAAATAAATACAGAAAAAAATATATATATTTTTTTTTAAATAGCAAAATAATTATAGGGTGGCTAATGCCAAAGAAAGGATGACTGAAACCACCCTTAAATAGGTCTAACGACGCTTATGATAGGCACTATCAAGTATTGGTGAGGACAACATTTTTGGCAGCACAGATGAAAATAGCTTCTGAAATTAACAGTTTTTGTTCATTGCAGAAATACATCAAAGGAATATGTGCTTACGTTTGTAACATGATTTAAAAAGAATTGTCCAAGCAGTTTTACGCCTGCCATCTCTTCATCTACTCTCCATCTATCTCACAACCATAAACATTTATGAAATGTAGACTGCAAAACCCAAATATTCTGTTCACAACTAAAATAAAAAGTTTATTAGATCAGGTCACTCTAAACAAACGAATGAGCTTAGGGTTGATTATTAAACAGCTAAAATCTTGGCTTTAAGTGGCACCAAAAAAGCTCAAAAACCTTTGCTGAGGTACGATTTATGCCTGTATATGGTATAATTTGAACAGAAAGTCAGACGTGTATAAACCTTCGCAGGCATGTCCTTGCACTATGGCAGTAAACTTTTCCCCCCTCTGTTTTTACAATAGTTATGAGGCTCAATGATAACTATTAATTTGAAAACTGCTTTGGTCAAATGTTTTTGTTTGTTTTGTTTTTATTCGCTTGCTTACAATTAGCTAAAGCTGAATAACTTTTTTCCCCCTCAGTGTCTGAACCAAGTGCACAAATGCAGTGACTAAATATATCAGTATCAAGAGTTATCATCCAATCACCACATCTAATATATAATTTCTTAGTTTAGTTTCTTTGAGGAACCTTTGGCTATCTGATTATTAATTGATTAATCAAAAAAAAAAAAAAAAACCTACAGTTTGCAAAATAATTATTAGTTGCAGTCCTAATGGTATCACATCCTTTACATTGGAAGACTTTATCTTTACTTTTCCCTGCTTTGGCCCCTGTGTTATGTGTTGATAACTATACTTATAGTTCTATAGATATATTCATCCCTCTGGTAATTTTTGTCTGCATTCTCTATGTATTCACTCCCCTTCTACACTTTTAAAACTTAATTCTACTCCTCAGACATGGAAGAATATAAATATCTTGGGCTGCAAGCGCCAAACCTGCTCAGAAGAAAGGGTTTAAAATTGGAATATGTATTCCTTCAAAAATATTAAAATATATATATAGAGAGATTACTGCTAAAAAAAAAAAAGCTGACACAGTGCAACATGTAGACATTTTAAGATAGCTCTCGATTATGTAGCTTCAGTAGTGAGTCTTAACCTGCTTTTAGATTTATTTTTCACCTCTTCATGGACACATTTTGGAGCATTTTGACCCTAGATCGTTTGAGGTCATTGACTGACCCTGCAGCTGTGTTAAGGCACAAAGGCTGATGCCAAAAGAAGACACAAATAATGGCTTATTGGGAAATATACTTAAAAAGCATTTCATTTATGCTTAAGCGTAAATGAATTTTCCATCTCACTGTTTTTAACCTTCAAGCATACAGTAAAAAACAACCTTTTTTTGCTTAATAGTTTGCAGATTTATTTAGCCGTATGCACTCTTCCCTTAGGCACACAATCATTTTAAAAGTCTATTCATGGAGACGCAGACTGGCAGCACCGTGACTAAGCATTATCTCCCTCGGAGCCGCAGTGCTACAGTGAGCTGCGCTACCGCATTCCCCCTATAAGAGCCGCCCAAAAACTTCCATCCAAACTCCTCACAGCAGAAATGAAAATACATTAAGCACTCATTACCGGGCTCCTCCGGATCTTTGGCAAAGGTCGGTGGTAAAAGCAATCGGTCATGGTGTTGGAAGCCATCTCTAACATATATATCTATTATTTGGTCCTCGCAGAAATATCAGTGCCATGGAAGATAGAGCAGCGCCTTCCTCCGACCGCCTGGCAACAGCCGGAGCTCTGCTGCCGCCTTGTGCCTCTGCTATAGAGGGTGGCAGCGCAACTCTGGAACACTTACTCCTCCCGCCTGGCCTCCCCCCTCATCCTTCCTCCCCTCCGGAGATTCAGCTTCCCGCGTCATCGCGCAGATTTTGCTTACTAATGTATTTTCAACAGTATGCAGAGGGGCCTCTCTATATACACGGCATGGATAGGATCCAATGAAAACAATGCGAGGACGGCTAAATCAAGCTGAACATGGCTGCTTATACATGAATGGGGAAATTACCTTACAGAGATCCAGGTCAGGACCATGGAGAGCAACTCCTTAAGACATTTACAGGTGCTGGTCATAAAATTAGAATATCATGAAAAAGTAGATTGATTTCAGTAATTCCATTTAAAAAGTGAAACTTGTATATTATATTCATACATTACATACAAACTCATATATTTCAGATGTTTATTTTGTTTAATTTTGATGATTACAAATGACAACAAATGAAAATCTCAAATTCATCATATCAGAAAATTAGAATATTGTGAAAAGGTTCAAAATTGATGGCCCCTGGTGCCACACTCTAATCAGCTAATTAACTCAAACCACCTGCAAAAGCCTTTAAATGGTCTTTCAGTCTAGTTCTATAGGCTACACAATCATGGAGAAGACTGCTGACTTGACAGTTGTCCAAAAGACGACCATCGACACCTTGCACAAGGAGGGCAAGACACAAAAGGTCATCGCTAAAGAGGCTGGCTGTTCACAGAGCTCAGTGTCCAAGCACATTAATAGAGAGGCGAAGGGAAGGAAAAGATGTGGTCGAAAAAAGTGTACAAGCAAGAGAGATAACCGCACCCTGGAGAGGATTGTGAAACAAAACCCATTCAAAAATGTGGGGGAGATTCAAAAAGAGTGGACTGCAGCTGGAGTGAGTGCTTCAAGAACCACCACACACAGACGTATGAAAGACATGGGTTTCTGCTGTCGCATTCCTTGTGTCAAGCCACTCTTGAACCACAGACAGCGTCAGAAGCGTCTTGCCTGGGCTAAAGAGAAACAGGACTGGACTGCTGGTGAGTGGTCCAAAGTCATGTTCTCTGATGAAAGTAAATTTTGCATTTCCTTTGGAAATCAAGGTCCCAGAGTCTGGAGGAAAAGAAGAGAGGCACTTCATCCACGTTGCTTGAAGTCCAGTGTAAAGTTTCCACAGTCAGTGATGGTTTGGGGTGCCATGTCATCTGCTGGTGTTGGTCCATTGTGTTTTCTGAGGTCCAGGGTCAACGCAGCCACATACCAGGAAGTTTTAGAGCACTTCATGCTTCCTGCATCTGACCAACTTTTTGGAGATGCAGATTTCATTTTCCAACAGGACTTGGCACCTGCACACAGTGCCAAAGCTACCAGTACCTGGTTGAAGGACCATGGTATCCGTGTTCTTAATTGGCCAGCAAACTCTCCTGACCTTATTGTGAAGAAGAAGATGCAATACACCAGACCCAACAATTCAGAAGAGCTAAAAGCCACTATTAGAGCAACCTGGGCTATCATAACACCTGAGCAGTGCCACAGACTGATCGACTCCATGCCACGCCGCATTGCTGCAGTAATACAGGCCAAAGGAGGCCCAACTAAATACTGAGTGCTGTACATGCTCATACTTTTCATGTTCATACTTTTCAGTTGGCCAACATTTCTATAAATCCTTTGTTTTTATTGGTCTTCAGTAATATTCTAATTTTCTGATATGATGAATTTGAGATTTTCATTTGTTGTCATTTGTAATCATCAAAATTAAACAAAATAAACATCTGAAATATATGAGTTTGTATGTAATGTATGAATATAATATACAAGTTTCACTTTTTAAATGGAATTACTGAAATCAATCTACTTTTTCATGATATTCTAATTTTATGACCAGCACCTGTATTGTCATTTTGTATACACAGAGTTTATACCAAACGAAATTTCGTTTTGTACAGCTCTCATGACATTTCCATTTACTTAAAGGGCAGCAGTGATCAAATGTAAACATTGTGGGGGAAAAACATAGTGCAAAAAAAAAAAAAAAAAAAAACGCATTGAAAATGTCAGTTTGATGCAGTCTGTGACATAATTTAGAGTTTTTTTCAACATTCAGCTGTCTGAATCTGCTAAAAATAACAACTTTGAATTAAAGTACAAGACCAAGGAAGGAAGGAAGGAAGGAAGGAAGGAACGAACGAACGAACGAAGGAACGAACGAAGGAACGAACGAAGGAACGAACGAAGGAAGAAAGGGTTTGATTTATCAGATAAAATAGCACCTGAGTGTAAAGGTACAGCAGTATAGTGCTTAAGAGGTCCAATTTTACAACTTCTATATAACTGCTTTAATGCCAAAGAGAAAGGTAAAACTTACTGCTATCCTGGCAAGAGCAGCTTTGATAGAGGCCCATGTATCCAGTCTTCGGTCTAAGATGATGATAAACTTAACTCCAGGTTGTCGGGTTCTGCCAATTAAAAAGTGCATCCATTTTATTAGTTGCAGTTTTTGCAAATTTGGGATTGGATTTTTCATTGATCTAAAAAGAACATGTATTTGAATTATCACACTTAATTCAATTCCATCTTCCATTTTTATCAAATTGTTGACAATATGTCTTGATGAGGCAAAATCTTGGCATGCAACATGCAGAAAATAAGCCCCCGATCTGCTTTATTACAGTATTTCCTGATCTCTGGAGGGATGAGGTTATGACAAAAAAGGCATCAATAGGACATTTGATCCTGAGCTACAGATCAGCAGTGGCTCCTGTGCTCAGAATACAAGGTTTTGGTGCAGTGCAGAAGGAGAGAGAGTCAGAGCAGCTCAAAGATGGAGGACGCACCGAGGAATGAGAGTGAGGTAGGTAAAGACTTTGGCTAAAGCGTCCTCTGGAATGTCACTGAACGCTGAGCACTCTGGGAGGGTAATGATGACGCTGGAGTCTTCCCCACGTCCTCCTAGAGAGAGTAAAACAAATAAACATAATGGTATACTGTTTATACATTTATACAGACAGACATACATATGAACACACACAGCATCAACCTATAAATATAAATGTAAAAATGTAAGGGTATATATCATAAAAGCTACACTCACCTGATAGGTATGCAACTTGTTTCTCTATATATCCTCCCACTTCCTTCAGGCTGACAGGAACAGTCACCTCTACAACATGATACATAAAATAAACACTGAGATGCACCACTCAATTTACCTATGAATTTGATATGATGCATGTTATGTTTTGTATTTCAATATTTATGAAATAATTAAGTGTTCCTTTAGGTAAATAAACTTGATGGTGTTTGTCTCCCTTGAGCCTACATTAGAAACCACACCTTTTCCTTTTATCCATACTTCAATGCAAGGGTGTAACTTTGCAATAAAAGTTGGTGGGGACTCCCTAAGGGTGGTGGCTGATTGACCTACAGCTACTCAACCCCAATGCTTTCAATAGGGTTTATATTTTCCAAAAATTAGCTCAAACATATATTTCTTGAATGCTTTACTATTGTTGAGAACACAAGAGTGCAATACATTTGTGCTATATATAGATATAGACAGATGCCTTCCTTTAGTGCATTGTTTTATAAAGGGCTCAAACACATTAATGTATAAAAAAAACAGCCGATATCCAATGCCAACATCAATATATCATGCATCCCTAGTATGGACACAACTGCAATTCAATTCATCCATGCATGGCTTCCCTTTAAGCTGCATCAGTAATTATCCTTCTTTCACAAACAGCAAAATCAAATTTAGAAATTTGTCCCAAATGTCATTGACGGCCAAAGTCTATGTATTGAACCTTATATTTAAAAAATCATTTATACACTGATTTGTATTATTTGTGCTTTAATTCTTGTAGGTTTCTTATATTTTAATTTTAAGTCTGTGTCCAGTGAGTCTGACTGTCTCTGGGTTGCAGCTCTTTCTGAGTCTGGTTGAACTACAAAAGACAAAAAGATATGTTGAATTTTATTATAGCATTGCATATTTTTTCTTGTAAACTTGGCAATACATTTTATGGGATGTTGCATATCCCAGTAAATCTGTTTCACCTCTAAATCTGAAGCTGTCCCTAATTGTGTCTCTGTTCTGCTTAAAAACAGATTTATGAACCTGTCTACCAATATAACGAGGCCAGAGAAAATCATTTTCAGGATCTCTAGAAGCTCTGCAGCCTGATTCTCTGTTCAATAAGAAAACAACAGATATTTGTTCATTTTAATCTGTAACTCTGATTATGGTCCTGAGAAGCCCAGCTTTTTTAACTCATATAAATGTACAATTTGCTGCCATTTTTAGCTGAAAAAGTTCTGTATGTGTAACTAACGGATTATTCGGTGGCATCTCTGATTTTTTTAACCAACCCGTCTCTAAGTTTTACTTAAACATATATCGAAGTAGCTGCCAGTTAAAATTCACTGAGTGTTGCTGCGAATTTATTTTAAAACGGTTAGTTAGTTCAGACGAAACAGACAGTATGTTAAAATGGCTTGCCATATCAGCATCTCTTCTCATCCTCCTAGCGACTCTGTACGCAGTGAATGTCCCAAAGCTACAGATCTGATGATATTTCATGGAGAGGTGGGACTCGAGAGCAGCAGCAGAGCGAGGAAAAAAACACGGACTGAAAACGCTCTGAACACAGCTGCACCAAACCACAGTTACTGTTGGCTGAAGTAAATCGGAGGGGAGAGGCGGACATTATTGGTGGGGTCTGTCCCCTCCATGCCCAAAGTTGGTGGGGACATGTCCACACCAGTCCCTCAGAAAGTTACGCCAGTGCTCCAATGAAACACATTTTATGCCAAAAGCTCTATGGAGATCACTTTGTTGATGCTATTTTCTTGTAACGAACATGAGTTGTCTGCTAAATGAAGACATAGTACCCTTTTGTGCCTTGAATTTTGGGAACCTTTCTTGTTTAATTATATTGATCATATACCAAAACAACAACTCAGATTTTTTAAGTTCTTTAAAACTGCCTGGAAAAGATTTGTTCCGTTGAATTAAACAAGATGTGTCACACTAACTGCAGTAAAAGTTTACTTTAGTTTTTACTTGGGCTGTTTTTTTTTCTTCCACCAGGGTTGCGCCTTCAAGATCCTGCATTAAGAAGATTAAACACTTCTAATACATTACTTCATTCTCTGTACAGGAACATAATCAAGGCTAAAAAGCCTTTAGATTGCCTGCAATCCTGTCTTAATTCAGTTAATGTTCATCTCAAAGTGGTGGACAGATACAGTCAGTGCAGTTTACACCAGAATGCAGCTGTAGGCAGCAATTTGGTCTGGTATGCAGAGAGCTGATACGCAATGTTGTGATGTTACTGTTACTGTAAAATCAATTTGTCTTCAGCACTCCGAATGCAAATCCTGTCTGATCTGCAAAGCGAACATAAATGCAACAGAGACATATGCAAGATTCAGAGACATTAAGCAGCACGGATTTACTGGTTTATTTAAGTCATACAAAATGTCTCCGCATTGCCTTCAGCAGCACATCACTATGCAGTGATTCACTCAAATTTCATTTTAACCTCATAAAAAATGAATCAATGCAGAGGAAATGAGTTAGAAAAAAAATAAGGGAAGGCCAAAAAGAGACTGTAGGAGCAAATTAGTAGTAGTTTTCGATGAGGTGACTTCTGTAATACTGTTTCAGGTAGCAAGTAATAAACTCCAGTAGTACCTGCTGAATATTTGATGCGTGTCAGTAACAGAGAGGAGCTGAGCCATGCAAGGCCAAAAAAAGAGCCTTGGATAAGCTGTGTACATACAGATCCAAGATAGTGTTACCGTCGCACTTGAATAACTAAATGACCATTAGCATCCAGCTCGGTAAGACAACAGCAAAATGAGGAAAGTTCAGAAATAGATAGAAAAAAAAGGGGGTTTTAATCAGTTATTAACTAGAACTACAATTTGGAGGATGTCTAAAATTTCAAGAACTGCAGAGTTCGGATTTGGCATAAAGTGGAGTGGATAAGAGAAAACTTTGGGAGCAGATTTTCATGAAAGAATGTGATGTCAGCATGATTAAAATGCACAACATTACTGCACTGGCTGAATGCAACACACCGCAGTTCTATGAATAAAGTTATAAAGTTTAGAGGAAAAACACTATCCCTCTCAACCCTGACATACAATCAGTAGAGATTGCCGTAACAATACATATTTACTGCTTTGCAGTGTCATGTACTGCATGCACTTTTTTGCTACTACAAAAAGGTTTTGTGCATTTTATTAGTTTCTCATGTCACAAATAAACTAAGTGAAGTGCAATAGTATTTAGCCCCCATTTACTTTGAAAGCCCTAATGAAAGCTATTGTAGTAAGAGTGTAAGAGAGCAATCAGCATCTTTACCATAAAGTAACATACTAAATGAGTCAGGGACAGTCTAAGGCTGAAATGTGTTCGAAAACAGTACACCTTCATTAAACCCTATTGGCTTCATGCAAAATGATGTGCATCTAATGAATACCTTAAACCCACCACTCCATGAAGCACCGTAATTAGAGATGCTTTTTTCCAGCCAGTCAGGGCCAATAGTAAAAAAGATGGAGTTCAATATGGGGTAAACACGAAGCAAAACTTGTTCAAGTCTGCGCAAGACTCCGACCTTACTATAACAATGATCCTAAATACGATCAAATAGCCAATAGAATAGTTTTGATATATATATATATATATATACATATACATATATATACATATATATATATATATATACATATATATATACATATATATATATATATATATACATATATATATATATATATACATATATATATACATATATATACATATATATATATATATATATATATATACATATATATACATATATATATATATATATAAATACTGAACATTAGTTAAGTTCTTTTTCTCCTTAGTGTTTAAATCAATATAATATAGAATTTTTTATAAAACAAGTGACCAAAAAAATGGTTTTATAATATTCAGAGCTCTACTTGTATGTACTTTAAGTTTTTGTTTGTAATTTGATATAATATGAAAAAGTCAAAGTGATATTAATATTTTTTTACCACATAAAAAAAGAGAAATAGGTTGTGCTGTTGTTATAGGCGTTTTCTCCTAGGAAATGTTTGACCACGACCTTTTCAGATGACATGCAGGACTCTGTAGGACAGAGAGCGCAAATGAAAGTCAAACAAGCTCTGTTTGCCCTTTGGTTCTTACAAACAGAAAAAAAATAAAGGTTTGTCGGTGTGGATAGAAACAGTGATTTCCTTCAGACAATCCCTTCAGTGTGCTTACAAAGCTAAGGGCAGAAAGCTTATCTCTGTTGTACAAACAATGATAACCATCGACACTAATTTCATCACACGGTACACCTCTAACAAGCACTATAGAACTTGACTATTTTCCATAAAATAAAGTATGTTTTTGTTAAAATCAAGGGTAAAAGAAAATGAAAATATGAGTCAACACTTCCATAGAAAACAATGGGGTGTGTGAATCATCAATTGCTAAAGTGTTAAAGCCTAATAAAGCATAACTTCTGCATGAGTTTTAAATCAGGTAATAAAAAAAATAATCACTAAACTATGTGCAAGTAAACGCTTTACTTTCAGTCCCCTCAAATAAAGATCTTGGAAAAGAGCGTCCAGGACAGTAAATGTAAGTGAAACGTGTGTTGAGAGGATATGGAGGGCACAAACCCAGAAATACTGTGTCAAATCTGATTTCACAGACACAAAAAAAAGAAGACCCTCTTAATCCTTTGTGAGGTAAGCAAGATGCTCTCTCTCTCTCTCTTGCACACACATATTTTCACAGAATGATGAATCCAAGCCTCATACTGCTTTTAGGTCATGAGGTTTTTTGCTAAATGAAGCTTTAAATGCTTAGGGATTAGACTGGTTTGTGACAGGATTCTGGTGGAAATATGGGGAAGAAAAAAGCCTGTTTCCACGTCCTAGGATGCAGTACATTTAGCTGGATTGGTTTAAGATCAGAAAGGCCAGTCTAAGGAGGGAGTAAGGATGGTTTTAATTTTAAGTTCTAAAGACCCTCATCCAAAGAAAAAAAAGAAACCCTTAAAGCATTTTTCAAGGATTTTGTCTTTATACTCTTATAATCTAATAGCAATGCCTGCAGCAGTGCATGCATTGTGTTCTATTACATATTGTATTCTTAGTGACATTTAACTGCCAGATTCTTTTTTTTACTATTTTGTTTTTCTTGTTTCTTTGCAAAAGTGTCACAAAAGATATAACACCATGAATTGTAAAATCAGTTCAGGGGCCCACATTAATATACACAGTTTTACTTTTTGCAATAGGTTTAAGATCTGATAGACATAAGCTTAAAGGTTTTGAGAGTTTGTCTGCAAGAAAAAATTTTTTCTACAATTTTTTTATTTGTCATTTCTATAAAGCTTAGTTTTTTTTTTTTATTTTGAAATTCTGAAAGATAAAAAAAAATGTAATGATTAGCAACATTTTCATATTGGTTATTGTGTTAAACCAAGCTTATCTTTTTACTATAGTGTTTTCAAATGGTCAATCAGCACTTCAAAATGACTACATTCCCATTCAAGGAAACAAACACTAATCCTTCAGGTAGATACTTTCTAGATTGCAATACGGATTATAAGATTAAATTTATTAGTATGAATGTAGAAGAGCTTATCAATTATATATTGGTTCAACTAAATCTTTGGTCTCCCAATATTTTTTTTTGTTGGCACACCTTAGAACTCTGGACTATTTTCTATTATGGTATGTTGATATATATAATAGTTGTCAAATAAGAAAAATCTACCAAAAACAACCCGATCCTGTGTAAAACTATAAATGTCTAAATAATGATTTAAGGTCATTCTAAGTAAACAGATTTGTCTTTCAGTTACGTTTCTCTAGTCAGGTCCAATCCTCATTTAAGAACTTGTCTGATTAAATGGAGATGAGCAAAGAATTTTGAACACCATTATATTACCTAAAATTTTAAAATAAACTTAAAATATATGTATTGATGAAGTTGAGAAACAATTGCTTTAAAATTAACCAGTTTGGAAACAACATTATCCACAATTGAAGACCACCTGGAACACTGAGGAGACTTCCAAGGAGTGACCAGCCAACCAAAATGAATAGACTAATTCAGGCCATCACAAAAACTATAATATCTAAACTGCAGGGCTCATTTTCCTTGACAAAAGTTAGTGTTAATAATTTAACAACTAGAAAAAGATACTAGATTGGGGAAACTTTTTAATATGTAAAGCATTGCTAAAAGCAAACCTCTTTACGATACCAAGAGTTGGTAATATTCTCAGTAGACTTATGAGAAAAATGTTTCCAGTTACATCTGCTGTAAAACTAACATTATTTTAGAATCAGAGGGTCCTATTAACAGTCAAACTTAGTGATGATTGGATGACGATCAGGGAGTGATAAACAGAGTGACACACCGAGACAGATTTAACCAAAATTTATGGTCTTAAAGTGTCTTTTACAATCAACAATTTTGCTATGCAGCAAGAAAATGATCCAAAACACAACTACAAGTTAATCTCTGATACACAACCAGTTACTGCAAACAATTTAATTACATAATCAAATGACTTCAGTCATTTTGTATATTTTTGTTATTCTATATATTTTGTAATTATTAGATAATCTCAAGCATAAAAGTGTGGAAATTTGTTTATCAATGTGCATTCCTTTAGAATAGGGGAGATTAGGATGAGAAATATAAAATTTCAATTCTCAGCAGTCAAATCCACACCAGCTTCAACCAGCAGTAAACATCAACAGAACTGAACATCCATCAGCAAGAATTTGAAGATTGTATAATATATCACTCTGTCCTTTATTTTTTATTGTAAAGCTAAACAGCTTTGCCAAGTAATAAAACATATTGACCTACTTTTAAAAGTACAATAAATTCTTAACAATACAGGCTAGATTAACTTCAGTTATAGTGATCTAAAATCTACTCTACTGAGCTTCCAGCCTAAATCATTTCTATAGATTGAAAAGGTATCCATCTGTGGGTGGCTTAAAATAGCTGCCATAATCCCAGTGATGGCCCACTGCTGGAGCAAAGCAGCAGGAAGTACATCAATAATACTGAAGCTGCACATCTAGTTACCTCCTCTCAGATGGTAAACTAGGCTGAGCTGTGTTGCAGTAGGCCTTTTTTTTTTTGGAATGCACAGAGGAATGTAAAGTTTAGAAAAAGGGGTTAGGTGATATAAACATTACACTGAAATGTCAGAAATAATTCATCATGCCAGCATCATGTTACTTACGCTGTAGGGTGCTCTGCAGCTGGGAGCCGGCCTGCAGAAGGCAACGGTAGCTCTCCATCTCCTCCTTAGACTCTTTGCCCAGCTCCCTCTCCTCCTGCAGTGAGGCTGGGCCCATTCCCTTTATTGCTGTCACAGAAACAGACTGAAATAACGGTTTGCTTACAGCAATCTGGGGTTCATATCCTCTTCAGAGCGGTCCAGCCTTCCATAATACAACTTTATAAGAATTAGAGGTACTCGAACAAAAAAACCCATGAAGTTTTGGAGGCCTGAGATCCAGATGGGGACAGCCTCCTGAGGTTCTCGACCTTGAAGCTGCAGACTGCCTCCACATTACATCAGAGCAGAGCTGTCCTCACATCAACACAACAGCAGCAGCAGTCCGTTGACCTGTCACTGCCCCAACTGGGTGTGATGTCTTTTTCTCCCCGCGTTAATGGACACCAGAGTCGACAGTGTGTCCTGCTCTCAGCAGCAGTTAGCTGCTTAAAAACAAACAGAGCTCCATCTGGCCACGGCTGTCAGTCCCTTCCCCTCCCCTCTCTGAGTGTTAGTAGTGCGTCAGCTCTGCACCATGCAAAGCTCAAGAGTCTGCTACTGACCCACTGCCAGCTCCCTCCCTATTTTTCCCCTCCTCACACTTCTACTTTTTTTTTATGCTTCACTGTTAACAGGCTAAGTTAATCATCAGTTATTCTACTTTATTATACAACATATATCCACAAAAAGATTGACTGTTGAAAATAAAATCCTTCTCCCCTGCCAACAAGTTGACCCATGTGAAACACAGCCTTTAATACACAGAAATCCCATTCAAAAGCACAGAACAAATAAGAAAGGCTGTCATTGTGTGCATACAGCTACTGAGAGCCTTTCTCAGCCGAACTCCCCACTGCTCAACCTACATCATAACTAAATGGATCAGCAGTCAGCAACGCTGCACAAACTGAAGAGGAGAAAATACAGATGTATGTAAATCCCCACTTTCAGGCTGGAGGTTTTCTTCTGAAGCCACAGAAGGAGCAGCAGGACTGCAGCCACTCAGCTGATCCAGCTTAGCCTCTCTGCCATCTCATTACTGAGCAGCTGCTCAGGGTGGTTGCAACCTTGCGCACACACACACACACACAACCAGGAATCTTTGCACCAAACTAAAATTGCTGATGCATCATTTGCTGGAAAAAGAAAAAAAAACAAAAGCGCAATGTTTCTTTAAAACTTTCAACTTTATTACATAAAATCTTTAGGTTTTAGATATTTCAAAGATGTACATTCAGCTTGGAGGTACCGAGTGGTGAAGCTGGAGACTGAGAAGGCTGGAGGTGGCAAGGAATCCCTGCCCGTGGTGCCTGAAAGTGTCCACGTCCACAGAGCCTCTAAACGCTCCATGTTTTTTTTCTTTAAAAAAAGTGGCTCCAAAAAGTTGCATTAAAAATACAATCCATTCTTTTTAACATTTCATTTAGACAGGCAAAATATTAGATTCATATGTAAGCTCTTAAAATAGCATTTGAGAAGTCGTTTAAAGGTTACTCATTTGTTAAAGCAGGCAGCCCCATCTATCACCACCTTTTACATAAAGTATCTTCTGTGCCATGGAGTCTAGAAAGTACATGGCAACTGAAACAACTCCAAATTCACACCCTACACATGTGTCTGGTTAAGATTTTCCATTCCACTGCTTTTGTCATAGTAAGAATTTGATGTTTAAAAAAAAAAAAAGGAAAAAAATCACACTGTTAGACTGTTGCAAGTGTTCGGAAACAAATCAGAAGCAGCTATCAGTTGCACATAGATGATAGAGTTCTGGTTAGAAGTTTACACACATCTGTAGGAACATAATTTATTTTGGACTTAAGTTTACATTTAAACTTTTTTCACTCAAGATTAACATTTAAAAAAACAGGGTAGCCCTCTCACTAAAATCTTGAGAGATGTGTTTTAGTAGTTCTAAGTAAACAACAGGTTCCTTTGAGTCATAAAAGCTTTTGATGCAAGTTTAATTGTATTTGTTGACGTGTTTGACCTCCTTCAAAAGTGTTGATTTCAAGGCAAGGTCACATTGCACCCAATATATCTCAAATGTGATTAAGTTTATGAGCTAGGCTAGAGGCCTGTTCTATCAGTTATTTATTTTAAGAGAAACCAAGTAATTTAATTTAAGCATTTTTGGCAACTAATTTAATAAAAAACAAAACCCAACTGCTATAATCAACTATCACTATGTTTTGTAGATGTTTAACTTTATTCCTCCAAAAATAAGTTTGATAAAACTATTTTGTCTTGTCTAAATTCTTGATTCTGACCCTTTTCTAGCATCACACATTTTTCTGTTTTGTGACAGTGACCTTGGATTTCAGTTCCCATTTCATAGGTTTAATTTTTGGTGGCAAGAATCACTTTTCAACATCCATTATACTTCCTGAAGGAGCCTCTCCGAGCCTTTACCTCAGTTTCACAAAAATAATCTACTTGCTACCCATAAAGCAGGGGATATATTTGGAAACCAAGTAATATTTTAACTTTAAGTTGTTAAATATCCAGCTAGAATAAAACTAGTAGCTTGAAATAAATCCAAAGGTAATACTGAAGATGGGAATTTGGTATGAGACACAAATCTCAGTATTACCTGTGATGTCTGCATACACTTGAACAAATAGGTATAATTTTATACTGAAAGATTTTTGGTACCATTCTTTAAAGTGCAAAGTCTCTCAACTCATGAACCTTAATTTTGTTTTGAAATTTTAATGTAGATGCACACATTTCACTCTAGACATTTTCAAAGCCTCAAATTAAAATCACCTACATGCCAATTATAGGTGTATGTAAACTTATGGACAGGACTCTACTTTAAGAAAGGAGATAAGAAACATCTCAGATTTATTTAGGGAATTTTGGAGTCTACTGGGAAGGGGCTGCCTGTTTTTTTTTTTTTTTTTTTTTTCGGAACATCACAGACTGATGAATGGGGTTTATGTGGTCTAAAGCTCAATCTGGATTAAAACACTCCCCAATGTTTTAACCCAGTGGCACACTCCCAATGGCACAACGCTTAACATTCTCTGAATAATATAAAGGTACATGTAATAAAAATATAACCTTTATGAGTAAAGTTACACTTAATAAATATGCAAGATATATTTGATATGATTACAGGAGAAATTAAAATATTTCACAAAAAAGTATCAAAGTGTCTTAAATCATGTATCTGGATGGAATGTATAAAGAACAACAGATGAGAAGTTAAAAGAGGAGAAAAGGTGAATAGTTAATGCTATCAGCATCTCACAGTGACCCAAAGATATGCCGATTCTGCAGCTCAGCTCACAGAGCCATTTTACAACCGAAATTCATCTAAGGAGACAAAATAAAAATGCTGAGCAATAATTACAATTAACTTAGACTTAATCTGTAGATTTTCGTTTCATTGGTTATTGGTTTTTCTAATCTCTAACCCATAGTTTATGCATGTGGGTTCAGGTAAAATCAATGTGGCTAAATTCACAATGAAGAAACCAGTTTCCTAAATAGTGCAGAAAACGTCATAATGACCCGAATCAACAAAGTTCAAGTAAACCTGGGCTTCTTTACACACAGGCATTTGTGGCTAATCTCATCCAAAACATTCTATAAAACAAAGCCACACACGTATGCAGGCAGGCCTGACACCATAAGGCCACACTTTGTGGACGCAACCTGATCATTTTGGCTTTTTAGCCGATGTTCACATACATCTCTAAGCTATGCACACCACCGCACATTTATTACATTTCTTATCTCATAATGAAATCTTAAATAATCTGACGCTGGAAGATTTAAGCTCATGGTCCAAGTAATGCTTCGTTACTGGGGCACACTTTAATTCTTTACACTAACATGTTCCCACAAACACACTTTTTGGACTGAGTGGTAACATTTGATCCCTCTGTTAACTTAGCATTCAAAATGGATATCAGATTTATAGCAAAAACAAAGAAATAATCAAAAAAACGATTTTAACAGTCTGTGTGCTGCTTTCAGCTGCACTGATATCACATTTAGTAATGTTTCATCTGGAATGATTTGGATCTGTAGATGTGAAAATATCTTAAGATTTACATGAAAAAACAAAGAAAAAGAAAATAAATTGCAGAAATACAAGTGCAGCAATAAGGTTTAAATAAAAAGATTTGTAAAAGAGTGACTAAATACCAGAGAAGTGTATTTTCTGTAGCCTTCATGCAGATGTACCATTCTTGGAGTGGATATTACAGCTGCTTGATGAAACAAAGTAGTTAGCTACTGGCAAGGCAGCTTTTATATGTAAGCAGATATCAAAAAAGGAAAAGGAAGAAGGTTCATGCCCATAGTCTTAATTTTTTTTTTTTTTATAAAATATACTGGAGCACTGCTCTGCAGGCATGCGTTTGTGCAGGTGACTGGGCAAAAAAAAGAAAAAAAAAAGAAATCAAAACTGTTTAACCGCGCCCCAATGTCATTACATTTCTGAGATCTTTTCAATCCTCTTAAAAAATGGTCTTGTCTCGTCTTTGAAGTTGCTTTAGGTATGAGAGAAAATCCCAATGAGGAGCATTTTGGAGGCGTGACCAGGCTGCCTTTCATTCACGCTCCTTCAGGTGCTTGTAGGAAAGTGGTGTGACAGCATTCACCTGGAAACAGCACAGGAAGACACACTTTCACTGTGTTAATCATAAGCTGGAGAGGACGGAGGACAAAACAGTGTCTGCAAAGGAGCTTAAATCACCAGAGATATTACAGTGATCAGCAACAAAACAACAAACACAAAAGCTTACATGATTAAAGCTTTCTCACCACCGAGAGTTGACAGATATTAGTAAGGAAAATATCCCATTTCCCCCAATAAGCTGATTTGTTCAAGCTCAGCAGGCAGATTTAAACACAGTTACTGCTTTCTCTAGACTTTACCTGGAAGGTTGTAGGAGCTCACCCTCTGCCAGCTACAGGGAGAATAAAAGCCACGTTAAAAGTGAAAAAAATTGCAAGGAGTTGTAGGCTACTACTGGGCAGCATAAGCATTGGTGAATAGTGGTGGTTATGTGTGACCAGTCACCGTAGCATATCCTCAGGGGCCAGACAAATTATTAAGCACATCTCATATCAATTCACTATATTTTTTTATTGCCCTCCCAGATTATTTACTCCCCTGGATTTTTCAGTTACAATCATCAATATACGCTATTGGAATTTTGTGTGAAAGACCATCTCAGAGTTATATAGGGCTGCAAACTAGAGAAACTTCAACATGGCTTTTCAACTTTTGTACAAATAAAAAAAGAAAACTGTGGCATGTACAGTATACATATTCTAGCATTTTTTTTATTGTCATTACACTGTCACAAGTACAGAGAAACAAAATTAACTCTCTGCATTGTGCGGCGCCTCACCTCAGGATTCCAAGCATAATGCCCAATGCACAATGCCAAAGCAGGCATTACCTTTAATGCCTAGGGACCCAGCTGGGATACGAACCCAGGCTTCCTGTTTGGAGGATGGATGACTTACGACTTGCTAGCCAGCCGCAATTTGATCAACTTTGGCTTTCTTCCTGCTGCTCAAATGAAAGTTTGATTTAGGAAGTATATGACTATAGCAGTCATTTTCTGTCCTGCAAATATATTCACACTGCTGACATGTAAAACTCCTCCAGAACTACTATTGGTCCAATTGCACTTATGACATGTTGAGCACTTTCAGATGGCAGTGCCATCAGTGCTCTGGGTGATGTTTAAAATATGTTTTAGATCTACTTCTAAAATTACTCCACAACTATATTCCTGACTCACCAGTTGTCCAATGATGTTCTCTAACAGACTGTGAACGATATAATAGTGTTAGCTCTGTATTGTATAAAGACAATACCGAACTAACATTACACTAAGACGGCAAATCGTTTCAGATGACTTGGAGGTACCATAGTAAAGGGGGCTGAATACCACATGTTTCTGATTTTACTTGTACACAAAAATGTAAAAAAAAAAAACATATATTTTTTTTGTTCCACTTGAAAAATAACACATAGCACATAAGTTTGTGCTTGAAACAAGACAAGAGTGTTACACAATGTAGTCAGTATAAATGCTTTTGCAAAGGTTTGTAAATGCGTTTTTTGTAAAGTCATTTTATCCAACTTTGCTTGTAATTTAGATGTCTGCTCCCTGTAATGCAGTCGGGTTTGTAGGCTGTGGTTGTGTCAGTGTAATTGCATGCAACAAACACAAGTCAGCAATCAAAACTGCATCGTTTACTGAAAATAATTTAACAAAGTAAGTATGAAAAGCATAACGAGGATGCCTTAACCGAATGAACAAACTGCAATGTCACAAACAGCACATGAATGCTGGATAGTGGAGAGGAAATAAGTAATAATCCAAGATCAGCCCTGTGGTTTTACACGAGATAGAAAGCCCAAATAAAGAAAATAAAACTGACAGGAAAAAACAAAAAGGAAGGACATAAGCACATGCAAAGGGAGGTTTTAGCCGTGCATCCAAAGGAAGGCAGAAAGGAGCATGTGTCTGTGCAGAAACGTGAGCCCAAAGATCCTACCATAGGTGAAAATAAAGGATAATTTAACCTCATCAACCACAAGTTTTGACACAAAACAACAGAGATGTAAAAAGTGAGTCACTTCAGCCAGCCTATTTCGGCTTTACACAGATGAGAAAGGAAAAAAGTGTTCTTAGTAATTGCAGCTTACACACCTTTTAGATTTTGATTTCTTATTAAAAATTTGGTGTTAAAAATCAAGATGGGACACTAGAAGGATTTAAAAAGGGATGAGACCCTGATTAGGTTGAATGCCCTAAAAGTGGGCTAGTACCTGTTTAAAGGACAGTATTGGATTCATCTGAAAAGGTTCGCATGAGCAGGGGCCTGGCTGAAGACTGGGGAGACAGGGGGCCCCCCACACTCGTCTCAACCCGCTTTTTCTAGAAGGGTGAGGCAGAAGAGACTGTTGATTTCACTGCACCGGCAAGCACAAACATGCTTCTTTTTCCTCCATATTCTCCTCTGCTTGTACACTTACAAACATATAAGACAAACACGTTCACAATAGACTAAATATAGACAAATGGGCGGAAAATATTAGTCCTTCTGCCTTGGTGGACTATAAATATCCTCAAGGCAAAAAACTCCAAAACCCTTTAATGAAACATTTAAATTTAAATCAACTGTCCATACGACTAAATTTGACAAAATAAAATGTATGAGATTAAACAAAAAGAGAAAAAAGCTGTCGGACTGGGTAGAGGATCCAGGATGAGGTTGCTGACTCGTGTCTCATGCAGTTGAGTTTAGGTGCTTTGAGGTGCTGCAGTCACCCGACGGGACATGCGGAGGCAGCAGGCACTGGAGCAGCACAGGTAGCTGGTAGGAGACACTGACTGATAAAGCTGGACAGACAAAGGATGAGGTGCTGACTTGCACACTCAGCACAGACTCCCCGTCCTACTCCACACTGAAGGAGGAGCTGGCAGCACACCCCTATGTATTAGAACTAATTCAAGGCTTTTGAGTGCTTCTAAGCACTGACTGTAATTTAATTGTCCAACAGAGTGCGGACCATGAGCAAAATTTATAGAGGGCCAGCTTTAAATAATAAGGAGCCAGACAGTGGGAGAGGAAGGACACAGTAAGAAGGAAACAAGCAAGTTTCCGAGCAAACACAATCTTCAGAGTGAGAAGTTTGAGTGTCAACAGAGAGAAAATATGAGACCTCATTCGCTCCATGAGAAGCTGTGAGAGCTAGCTGTCTGAGAGAGCATGAAGATAGTAGAAGTCCCAGAGGATGGAAGGCGATGCTTCATCTTTGGGGAGGAAAGTACAGAGAGGAAGAAAGGGAAAATACCAGGGTGAAAGGTGAGAATGTGTGATATTGTAGAGGAGCTAGTTTGAGAAATAAAAAAGTTAGGCAAGTAGGAGAACCGAGCGCTTTAAAAGACAGGGAGGAAATCTGTTCAAACAGTAAAGAGAACAGTGCTACAAATCAAAAAAAATCTTTCATTTTCCATGTGTGATCTGAAACCTGGTTTATAATGGGAGGGAAACATGAAAAAAAACTTACATAAAACATTTCCACAGCAGCAAATATAACCAGCTATAGTAGAAACCAAAGGCTGATAGGATGTAAATTGGAAAAACAGCAGATCTTTGGTCATTTACCTAAATCAAGCTTAAAATCCACAAACAAATAAGCACGTAATCATTGGTACTATAAACAAGAACAGTTAAATTTTATACCCAAATCTCTTTTCTCGTTTTCTACACAAGCTCTGATGTTTTAGAGTTTCTTTAATAGCCAAGCCTTACACAGGTAAAGTTAATCAATATACTATTAGAGGTACTTTACTGTAAACATTGATTTCATAAGGTTTATGTTGGAAAAGTTTGATTTGGAAAATTATGAAAAAAAAAAAACACTGCTCTGCATCTGTGACCTGAAAAAGACTGCTACTTCAATTCTCCTAAATTGGGCTATTTTTTTATAAGTCACAAAAATCTTAATACTGAGATAAAAATGATAAAATAATTGCAATAATCACTATGTTGCAATGTCATAACGGCATCACAAATATTGTTTTTCAGCTATAAAATGCAATAATACAGCTATAAAATGCAACAACATTAATGAACCATCATGTTATAAAAAAAATAGTCATGAAGAATATTAGTACTCTTTTTAAATAACTGAAGGTGCAGTTATCTGCTGGCTCTTATCGGAAGCTCTGAGATTCAAGGGTCAGTTAATGTTTTTTCAAGTGATGCTTTTTCTTCTTTTTCTAAGGAATTCAATACATCCTTTGGGTTGTGGATGGCTCACAGCCACTCTATAGACTGTCCGATTTAGCTGACTTTACTCGTTTCCCTCAAATAAAATAAAGTTGCTCATATCAGAGGGAAATAGAAGCTGGCATTAATAGTCTATAATTTCAAAGGAGACAATTTTAACAATGTTGCTGCATCATAATCAAACATCCTCCATGGTTCGAAGTAAATTGTGCTTGTTGAACAAATTTTGAGATTTTACATCAGACATGTGGCAGCATCTACAATTGGTAAGTCGTTTTTCAAAATAATTCAAGTAACTCCTTGATGAAGCGGACTGATGGGATGTACTGCATGTCTAAATTGCTTGTATCTGCTCCTTGAAGATGTACTTAATGTAGTCAAGCAAACTTAGATTAATATGAGATATTTTTACTTTATGGAGGGGAAATTTTACTGGCAATTTCACAAAACCTCACTATAAGCTTTGATATGAACCTTTTACCATATGATAACAATAAATGACTTGACCTACAGATATATCAACATCAAATGTCTTAAGCAGTCAAAAACATTCAATCTGTTTTACATCCTTGAATTGGTTGTTGTGTTTTAACAGAATAATTCAGAGAAGAAAGACAACCAAAGTTCAGAAGACTGTTGGAAGCCTGCTCTTAAAACAATTCTGAGAAGAGTGATAACATTTCATTTTAAGCTACAAGCTTACAAAACTTATTTATCAACACAAAAATAAATGTTATGAAAGATCCCTAAAAAACATAAAGAACTGTATGCAGAACACATAAATAGATTTTAGTTATCTAAATAATACTACAGTAGAGAATAACAGGTAACATACTTAAGCTTATAATGACTGCTAGGTGTGCCATTAACAATAAATGTTAGTTGTAAATTAAAAATCTCTTCATGTACAGAAGTGCCATTCAGATTTACCTGTCGTGCAAGGGGTCCACGGGGCTTGAGGAGCACCACAAACAGGATCTCTGGCAGTAGACTGAGGATTATGAGCAAGATGATGACCAACCATGCTGACACAGAGCTTAGCATGTTGGCGAACACAAAGTACAAACGCTGGTGCTTCAGGAAAGGCCTGTTGGAGGACACACGATTTAGATCACATCATCTTTCATTGGAAAAGTAGGGAAAGGTTGGCTACAGCAGAAACTTTTGTGTGTTTGTATTTTCTGACCATATTATTCCTCCCCAGAAGAAACTGAAAAACACATAAAATGCCAGGGAACCCCAAATTACAAAGTGGTTTATCCATGTCCAATACCGGGTGTCCAGTGCCAGCTAAAAGGAAGAAAAAAAAAAACACTTAAGACAATATTCTTAATCCAGGTTTACAGGACTTTTTTATTTTAACTTGAATGGTTAAAGAGGTACTGTTTTGAACAATGCATATGCTTACCTTTAGAGTTACAGTGAAGACTAGCACGGTGAAAACAATAGTTCCATATGACCAGTTCCCAAAAACCTGGATTTAAATAAGAAACACAATGAGGTGAGAAGAAGGTACTGAATTAATTATTTTATCTCCCTTAAGTTTAGCCAGAGTGATATCAAACCTGGCCATTGTCCTGCAGAGCTGGGTTACTGAACAAAAAGCGAACACCAAAGAAGAAGACAAAGCCGTGGAAGAGTCCAAGCACGGTCCAGTAAAGGAATAGTTTCCACTGCAACATGGCATTCTTCGCAATCTGCCTAAAATAAGCAGCAAAAAAACAATCACTTTGTAGAAACTCACAAAATGAACATGAAGTTCAGCACCTGTAGGACTGGATAAAAGTTATATTTTAAACAAGAATTGTGTGCACAAGATTTAATTTTTTGGTTTATATTTTTAAAATCCCCACAAGCTAAAATCTACATAAACTTTCTAGCTGGATTTTGACCACATGCTTTCTATTGCTATCAATGCATCCTCGTTATATTTCTGGCAGGATATTCAACTCTATATGTCAGTGCTGGAATTTGTCGCAGCTTCGCTTTTCTGAAGCGAAATCAGCTCTGATAGAACGAACTTTAATGAGGTTAAGGTCACAATAATCACATAGCCTACTTCTTTCAAAAGACTGCGTCACTTCTCTTTTTTTTAAACCCATGTTTGCCAATTTCCTCCGATTTTGGTAGATTACACAGAACTGTCCACTTGCGGCTAGATTGTCTAAGCATAATGTCAATTCAAATATGAACAAAAAATGAATGACAGCATTAAATGGTAAAATGTTTACTGGCCTGTACTTGTATAGCGCTTTTTCAAGTCAGGAGACTTGACCAAAGCACTTTACACTACATTCAGTCATTCACCCATTCATGTACACACTCAAACACTAATGATGGCCTGTGTTAGAAATGGATTTTGCCTATCAAAGAAGAGATAAATTCTTCTTGGAACATTTGATTTCAGGGAATTAGCACTAATTTTTATTGCTGAAAATTGTATAACAATATTATTATCTTAAAACCATAGAATGGTCCAACCTTTCTTCATGAGCTTAACCACCACAGGCTCTACAGAAGTATATTTGGTGGGAATATTGCAATATTGTAATTCCAACTGTGAATAATTATATTGTAGTATATATGCAACATTATGCCTGGGTTTATTGTCCTCTTAGACCACCTAATTCTTTGAAATAGAAAAAGGAAATCTGGGAGCCACAAAGGCTTAAGGCTGCCATAAAGTTGTGTTTTTAACAATCCTGTTATTTGTAGATTACTACTGACAAAGAACACCAAAAGAATGTAGTTATCCAAGAAATATGAGGTAATTGACCATGCTGACAGTAAAGAATGTTTTGAGAACCTAAGGCGTAATTAATATAACTCTGGAAAACTGCCCAACTTTCAAGCAAGACAGTGGTAGTAGAATGCTTAGGGATTAGGGTGTTACTGCCACTGGGGCAGTTTCTCTACAAAACGTACCATACAGAAACTGGATGGCAACAATTATGAAGGAGGACAATGCCTAAGTTCATGGAAAGATACTTGTTCCAATATCACTAAAAGCAAAGAACAATTTTTCAAATGGAAGTTTGAAAAATGTCTAAATGAAAACAAAAGCTTTGAGAGTAATATATAACGTTAATGGACAAGTTAAAGCAAAAAATTTTTCAAATTTGCATTTTTATTCACTTTTATTTAGACTAACACACTTATTGCTTTCATAATACTTTTAAATTTCTGATTCTATTTTTTTAATACTGGGTTTGAAGAAATATTTTTAAATGCTTTTTTTTTTTTTTACATATAAAATTTACAGTTCTGGGAGTGAGAGCCTCTAAAGGGTAGAGCAAAATTGCAATTCTGTTAAGAGTGTATAGGCAAGAGGGAATTTCTCTTTAAGAGGGAAGTTCACTTCATAGGTTATTTGTTTTAAATAATATTGGAACAAATTTCTCTCTATGACATATTTTAACTTTATCTCAAATCAAAAGCTAGGAGGTTTAACACTTGGCCGAAACCATATGCGCCAATGATACAAAAAACAAACCAAACACACCTGTTCTGGAATAAATAAAGCACGCTACTGAAGGAACCTTTAAATCCAGCACATCAAATTTAGACCATTGTTAAAAGCCTAGTTTGTTCTAGCAACCTAAAATTATATTTGTACCTCCATTTCTGATGAAGAATATTTAAAACAAACTTCCCAATTTTGCCATAACTTATTGATGGCGACGGTAAGGATGTTTTTTTTTTTTTTCCGTATCTCTTTCCCTTCATCAAAATAATACTTCAGGTAGCCATATATATATATGTTGGTAACAGATTTAAGTTTTGGGATTCTCTAATGTTTTTGTTTGGTTTTACTATTAATCAAAAAAGGAAATATTAAAGGTATAGTAGAGGAAGTTTCTTTTTCGGGTGGATCATTAAAATAAGTAGTCTTCTAACTGTCAATCTTTCTGGTGAAATGTCTATGCACTCTTCCCCATTTTACTTAACTGTGGTGAGTCTGACATAATGGAAAGATTGCAAATCTTCTTTTGTAAAGTCAACTTGTATGGGCGATGCAAGCATCAACTTTTAAACAGAGAGTGCACGAGGAGAAATATGCTTGTACATGCTCTTGCACGCGTTTAATAGGCCTTCCCTCTCGTGAGCGAGTACAGGGTTGTGCAAGTTCTTTTTTTTTTTAAAGTGGAGAGGGCAGGTCTTTTAAAAAGTTTGTGAAAGTGCTCCAACATACCTTTAATTAATTGACAAAGAACAAACAACTAAAAAAACTCACACCAATATGATTGTATAGACATCCAACTAGAATTTATTTAAAGTGCAATATAACCAATTTACCTGTAGAGGGTAGAGTTTTCCAAGAGATCCTCAATGCCAATGTGTTGCTCCAAAAGGCTGTAAGCCAGGATGGGCATAGAGGTGAAGCAGATGTTGTACATCGTCAGATAGGCTGCATCATACAGGGGCTGGGAGGATGGGAGCAGGGGGAAGGGTAGGGTAAGGGGGAGAAGGAAGGGTGGGTCACTGGGGATTAATATGAAGGAGTAGGAAAAACTCACACACCAATACCTCTTCAAGAGGCCATATAAGGAAGCTTACAGACAACTTTTCTAGGCCCATTAAAGATCTGTTTTTTGATCACAAGAGACAATCAGCAGTTATTATTTAAAGTAAAACAATCCAATAACTCCAAAACAAAAACATTTAGTTATAATAATCCTTGCATTTTTGATCCAAGTTTACCTAATATGTACAGGACACAGTAAAGGAACGCAGCCTATAACTATACCTAGCAATAACTTAACCAATATACAGAGGCATGATAAAAGGTTTACAGTTTGACAGATTTATTTAATTTTAGCTTTTATGTTTTATTTCAAACAAATTCTACCTTCAAAAATAATTTGGTAAAAATAATGGAATAATTTGTTGAGTGAAAAAGGTGCCAAACTGACCAAATGATATATAATTTGGAGTTAAAGATTAACATACATATATATATATTATTTCAGTCATCTGGGTTTTGGCAACTACAACAGGCTTGAATAAAATGCTACTGCACTTTGGCTCAGTTGTTTTGGATTGGTTCTGTCTACTTATACTCAGGGGTCACTGGCAATTCTGAGGGCTCACAGTTGAAACCACAACTCTAGTCATCTCAAATGCAAGATTCAGGAAATGGCTAAACTCCTGGATAAACATCAAACATATCCTCAAAACCTGAGCAAACGTATTGCCTGAAATAAAATACAAAAAGTAAAAACAGGAAATCTTGTAACGGCAAAAATATTTTTTCACAGCACAAGTGCTCTGTGCTGTTCCCATAAATTCTGTTTTACCTTTCTTAGTCATGCAATTCATAAATATCTGAGAACACGAACATCACTTTCAGGCTTCACAGGGTAAATGGGAGAGGGTTATTTAAGGGGAAACGGGCTCAGTCACCTTTAATGCTTGGCACATTTTCTCAAGTTCATTGTTGCTATGAAAAAACTCACTTGCTGGGAGAAGCCACAGAAGAACTGGAACAAAAACTGAGGTAAGATGAAGCAAAGATTCTGTGGATAAAAGATAAACACATTGTCATAAATACAGTGTAATTTCTACCCGTATGCTTTATCTTCTATAAAAATCCTTGAAAAAAAGGCAATTGGTCAATTAATTATCCCATTTATTTGGTAAATACAAACCCTGCATAAATAGAAGTTAAGCAGTGAGTCATCAGAAAAATAAAAAGGAAAAATATCATTTTTTCTTACCTTGTAGAAGAAGTATTGCACCAGATGCGCAATGCGAACATAGTAAAGATGTCCATGAGCCAACAGAAGTTTCTTGAGGTGCTTGAGTTTGGGGATAGCATAATCACTGTTCTTTACTGCCTGTCGACCTTCTTTACCTTTAATACCTGAAAAAAGCATATTTAAAACAAACAAAAAAATTATTAATTATCAAAAGTAACTTAGATTTAGCGGGTACCTTCACCACATTTAAACTGATTTCTTACCAATGCCAACATGAGCTTCCAAAATCATGCTGACATCATTTGCTCCATCACCAATGGAGAGAGTAATTGGGCTGCCTTTAGAGTTCTTCACCAGTTTTACAATCTAAAGATGGAGGAACACAGAGAGTTATGTTTTAAAAAAGGCCCACTGCAAAAGTGATAAATGGAGTTAAATGAAATAACCTGACCTGAGCTTTCTGCAGAGGGGCCATGCGGCAGCATAGCACAGAAGTACAGTTCAGACAAATCTGCAGGAAGAGGTTCTTGTAGCGGCTGGAGTTGGATTCAGAGCTGAGCACCATCGATAAAGAAGCTCCGTCAATGATAAAACCATAATCGTTGCTGGCTACAGACCAACTCCTACAACACAGAATTAGGAATGAGTTAGAACTCCTAAAAGAAACATTATCCTTATTTGAAAATGTCTCAGTAAATGTTTAAGTCGTTTTAAATAATTCACATTTTCTCACTTTATTGCACAAGTACAAACCTGAGGATATTTATTTAAGATTTAAAAGAGATTGAAACACCAACTTGTGTTCAACTGTAGATCAGAAATCTTGAAGGTAAATGCATTAAAAGGGGAGCCTTAGAACAACTTGACTCTGGGGGGCTGAATACAGATACACATTTCACCTTTTTATTGTCTTTACAAACTGTTTTTTGTAATAAAACTAATTGTTAATAAAGTTGAATGTAGATTGACTTTTGAGTATTTGGTTACATTTATATTGCTAATTCTCCTTCTCAATGTCAAAGCAAGCTGTCAGTGATCTAGCTCCATATTTTGGCTGGGAAACTTGTCTATAAAGTTTAGTTTTTGTCACGGCATAGTACCAACCTGGTTATTCCTAATCTTACTGGTGGGGCATCTTGAAAAGCTTTCTTATGGTACTCCAGTAGAAGTTCAAGAAGTCTATCCTCTCGCCTCCCTCCTCCCTCCTCTAGAGTGCGCAAGGTTAGCTCAAGCAGTTCTGTGTTTTTCTTAAATAATCCACAAGCATAGCAAGTGGATTTGGCCGTCTCCATCTTGTCACCCGTTAGCACCCAAACCTTCATGCCTGCTCCCTGCAGAGCTTCCATAGTCTGTGCTGCCTCCTCCTGAAGCCTTTGGGTAAAAGACAAAAAAAAAGAAGAAGAGAATGATTTCACTTCACAGCAAAAAAACAAGTCAAACATTAGTTTTATCCATTCAATTTGTGAACAGGATACACCTTTATATTACAGCATATTAATATTACTATTTAGAGAACTTTAATTTTGGTTTAAAATATACGGAGAGAAAAAGAGTGTTTTGTGTCTTGGTCTTAGAGGATCAGTGGAGATAATCATTGGGATTGTTGGGATTTTAGTGCAAAAAGGCTTGAAAAATTATATATTACAAAACAATTCATTGTTTTGTAATAATTGATTAAACAGATTTAGGATCAAATGTATGAACCTTTAGTGCAGTGGTCTTAAATGCAATAGATTGGATCAGACGAGACTCATTAATAATGGTTCTTTTTTTATTTTAGGACAAAAGGATTTTTTATCCTTATCTGTTTTCCTCTAATGCACTTATTTAGATTTTAACTGAAATAGTTAGATGTTTTTATTTAGTTCTTTCATCCGTTTATATTAAATCAGAAAATCCATGACCATAAATCGACATTTTTGTTTTCATAATTGTCCCAAATATTTTTCTTTTAGATGTATTATTTATTCTCATCATAGGATTGGACTTCCTATGCTTTGTGAGCCAGGTTATGATATTATTTCTTGGCTCTTTCTTAATAAAAATGTATGTATTATTGCTCTATACTAGTGCTCAAATGAAAACAAATATCTTAATAGTTTGAAAATATTTGATTGTGGAGGACTGAATAATCCACATGGTGGCAGTGTAAATTGATACAGGGCTTATAAAGGGGTCAAACAAAGATAATCAACAGAAGAAACCCATAAATGTTACAAAACATTATGTTCAGTGCTGGTATTTACAACTTTTAAAATATCCTATATAAAAACTAATTTTGATAAAGAAAAAATGCATCAGAACTGACTCAGTTATATTTGTTTAAGTACAGCATGTGAAATAACACCCACTGGTCTTCCACAGCAGTTGCTCCTATTAGAGTCATTTCAGCCTCGACTTGATTGTAAACAGCTAAAAGCTTCTCCTCCCTGTCCTGCAGAGCCAATCTTGCTTCTTTCAGCTCTTCATCTGCCTTTGCATACTCCTCTGGGCTGAGAAGTTTGTAGGCCACACACAGTGTGCGATAACCATCCTGAACAAAGAGAAAAATAAAGTAATTAGTAAAACATCACAATTTCTGTTTAAAAAGTGACAGTCTTGATATGCAGATAGACCATCTGTTTTGCACCCACTGTTGCGTTTCGTTCCACATGCATACGTATCCTCTCTACCTCCTCCTGTCTGACTCGAGGGAAGATGGAAGAATCTGCTCCCTTACAGAAAAGCAATATGTCACCTGAACACAAACAAACAATTACACGCACACGGTCAGAGTAAGTATAAACATATAATATACAATGAATCAGACCTGTCTAAGGCTCACCTGTACTAGATCTGACCATTACACTCATTCGCCTTCTCACAGGGTCAAAGTTTAACACGTGAAGTAGTTCATACCTTAAAGGAGAACAAAAAGGTCCAAAATTAAAATCACTAGAATCGCATCAACAAATGTGTGCTGAGATTTTAAAGCTGTTAAAGCCTCACGTTTCAACATCTTTATTCCTGTTGAGAATTTTCATATTTTTACTTTCAAGGCCCAGAAATGTGAAGCCATACCTGCAAATAGAGACAGATAACAGCAAGTATGTAATTTCTCAGTCGTCAGTTCACACATTAACTTGTGTTCATTTTGATGATTAACACTTCAGATTATTAAACACTTTAAATTCAATTTCAAAGAAAATTTGAACATTTCCCAAGACAAATGAAAAGAGATTATCAATGTTGATATATGTTGCCATGATTATGCCATGCCCTCCCCAGTCAGTAGGAAGATTACTGACTTGATGACCGTCTAGGATAAAACTTTAGACACAATCCCAAAGAAGGGTAAACAACACAAGCTGTCCATACAGAGAAATGTATCAGGGCAAATTACTGGGAAAATAAGTGGATGGAAGAGAGATAACTGCAGCCCATTGAAGAATAATCCTTCTTATTACTTTCTCTTTGAGATACCTAATTTTGGGATTTCATTAACTGTAAGCCATACTCATTCAAATACAAACTTAAAATCTATCACTCTGTGGGAGCTCAATAAAAGGAATGAGCCTTTTTATAAATATATAATTCACAGAGATGCACTTGTAGATGACAAACTTTCTCTTTCACAATAGATTGATTAGCATTTAAAAATTCACAAAAGCTTTCTTTTTTACCTCATGGCTCCTTTTACAAGAGCAATCTCATCGGGTGAAGAAGCTATGAAGCCCCTCTCTGTCTGCGGTGTATGTAGGATCTCTTCGCCACCCCCTAAACCATCTACCTGGTCAATCTGATCTAGGTAGTTTGAAGACTCTTTCACCTGGACAGTGTGGCACAGACAGAGGGCACGAAGAAATAGCTCTTCCCTCTCCTAGGAACAAAAAAAAAAAAAAGCTATAATAAGACACTTCTTCTCAAAATAAGTGCAAAAAAAGCATTTTACATTTGTGTGCATCATATGCACATTTTAATCCGCATGTTCACTACATATGTTGACATGTCAAAGAGGCTACACATGGCTGACCTATGAAGGGTCTTTCTAACAAATGAGCTATGTAATGGCCATATGTTAATGCTTGTGTGACTTCTTAAAGCAGATGGTGGGGCAACACAACACTCACTCTGCCAGCTTTTTCCTGTATTTTGTTTACAGGTCCATCTGTGACGCAAAACCCATCCAATTCTGATCTCCCATCTCGATGCTTGTACTGGAAGCCATCGATGCAACACTCTATGAATTCCATGTTGTTCTGAGTCAGCGTGCCAGTCTTGTCTGTGAAGACATACTCCACCTGCAGGAAATATGATGGGGGCAAAAGCAATACCAGAAACAAAGAATTAGACTGCATTCATAAAATTTAAAGCGTTTCTTTATTATTATTATAACATTTCAGGTCCAACTGCTCAAAGGGTGCAGTTTTTTCTGTTATTTGGAGTTGTAAAAAACTAAAATTAGGGAAGGTTTAAATCTGCTGCTATTTTCTTTTTTTTTTTACAATAACATATCTCACATAATCCAAGTTAGATTTTGTCCAGGTTTTTTTTTTTTTTTCATTTTAAGACTTCAGTGAATTTAGGAACATTTAGCATTTTATTCCATAAAAATAAAATCCAGAGAGGAAGCTTAATGCAAATTAGAATTTGAATGGTTACTGGTCAAAAGGCATAAAGAGTTTCTTTTTTAAAGGTGATAATTTTAAAAGCAAATTTATCTGTCAAAACATTCCTGTGGTTTCGAAAAACAATTTGACTAATCGTAATTTGCATGGCAACTCCTCTACCTATCCTAGTACACTGCCAGCCGGCCTGAAAGAGAACACCTACAATTCTTTGCTTCCATAAAAAGATAAACTACACTTAAAAATATTTACAGTTTGTGTAAAATTAAAGGAGTGATAGAGTGTGCACACATAACACATCATGCATCTTTTTTATTATCACAGAGCATTTCGAACTGTAGCTGGGAAGCTATTAACTGCAGGATTTATCTAAAGAAAGTAGATCCACTGATCAAACAGATAAAATATCAGCTTTTTATAGTCCCTGTTTAAATCTATAAAAAGCTTCAGAGCCAAGAGGTACAATACTCTGCACAATAAGCACTTTAAAACTAGAATGAATTTACCCAATTTGGTTTATACATGTATATTTTACATCAGCATCAAGGGGGGAAAAAATTTCATTTAAAAGCCTCTTGCGATTTGATCTCCAGCCTGACCTGTCCCAACTCCTCATTGAGGTCCGACGTGTTGACCAGTGCCCCCTCTTTGATTTCAGGGTCAAAGAAATCTTTGTCCCATGCAATGAAGAAGGACCCCAAGAACTTTTGCATCTCAACAGTGACGTACATGGACACCGGAATGATGAAGTTGAAGAGCACCATGAAGGAAAGGAAGTCTGTGAACATTTTTAGGTACTGTGACATAAAATGGAAAAAAAGAACAAAGTCAAATTGAGTCATATAGTTCAATGGCTTTCAAATTGGGCATCCTCTATAATATTCACAATTGTAGTTTTCAATGACTGTAACTATAACTACTTATACTAATATTTAGTTAAAAAAACTAGTGGTGAGTATACATAATTTTTTTTTTTTTAAATCTAGATTAATCTCACTGTAATCTTGATTAAAATGGCTCATTTGAATTCTGCCAAACGCTTCATGAATCAGAATCAGAATTACTTTGTTAATCCCTTTGTGGGAACATTTATTCTTGCAGTGCAAACGTTTACAGTAGAGGGAAAAAAATAAGATTGTAATTACAAATACTATATAAGAATAAAATAAGGGTAAGAATAAAATAAAATAAGAATATGTGTGTGCTACCTAACTAAGTTAAAATATGTCTTTGAACAGGTTTCTCAAGCCAGGTGGCGCATTAGACAAGGAGCTCATCTCCTGTTTCCAAAATGCATCACAGACTGCTTCAAAATAACTGGTGATGAAAATAAATAATATTCAATAAGATGTATTTGTGTTTAATAAGTGTTTATTCAGATAAATATTAATTCACTGCAGGCCTAAATAATAGGTAATGATGAACTGTTTACAGTCAGTAGCTTTGTGTCAGTTAGTCCAGGCTCTATTTCTCTCTTTTCCACCAGTCACTCTGGCAGTCACTGTAATGTCCTGTGAGGCTTGACTAGCAGCAAGGGGTGCTGAGTAATGTCAAGATGGGGAAAAAAATCACCATTTTATCCTAGTTTTGTGTTTAAAAGGGTTGTCTATATTGGTAGTTTGTTCATGCTAAGCTAACATTATGTTCTGGAGGTTGTAAGTGTTGGCATTGGTACCATCGGAAGAATGTTTCAGCAGTTGCTTATAAAGGAACAAGCATTTCCTGTTTTGTTTTTTTTTTATTGCATAAATGGAGAGCATCGCGACTGAACCTTGGTTTCAGCGTGAGTTACTTTCCTGCTGGCAAACACGCTACAATATCAAGGTGAAAAAGTCATCATTAGACCCAGCTCCCAACCCAACTTTGAGAATAGATTAACGGCATTATTTTGTTTATCGCCTGATAAGAGTCTGGCATTAACGCTGATAATGTCAAACCGCTATAAAAAATGCAATAAATAATATAAATATATTGCACTATGAAATGTTGAATGTTACCTGAGCTAAAGTTTACATTAGAGGTGTCCCTCTATTAATTATTCAAGAATTACAGTAATAGATAACATTCAGGTTTGGTTTAAAAGTTCAGAAAATAGATTTTATTTAGAGAACTTAACTTGTAAGACTCATTAAAATTCAGTATCCATGAAAGTTGTGCTAATTTATATGAATTCTATAGAAAGCTATTAAATCTGAAATTTAATTTCACAACATAATTGCCTGATTTAAAAGAGTACTGCAGTACATATGGTAATATGGAATAGGATTGCAGCATGAAAACCACAACAGTCCAGTTCCAATAAACCAAAGAAAAAATATATTTAATAATAATCACCACCAACTGCAAACCTCTATAGAATTTCTACTTTCAACCTTCCACTAGTTTATTGTATGTAACAGAAATATATATGTTTTGACAAACCGGTTTGTTATATTTACAGCAGAAATTCACAAACTATAGTATCTTTAAATATTACCAGTCAGAAAGAAAATATAAAGACTTGAATGTTTTAAGACAATTTACATATATTAGGAATAATATATTGGGTAATTGGTCGCATACTGACTATGAACTCTGGGTCAACCTCTCTAAGAAAAGTAAAATCAGCACCATTTAGAACAACGATGTCATGAAACAAACCTACAGCAGCTGCATATTCATGAATCTGTGCCCTGTGTTTTGAGCCAATTTTTTTTTCTGTCAAAATCAGCTACCCCCACATTGAGGTTTAAAAAGGAAATATGCAGCAGGTTTCACAGTAAATAAAAACCTACAAAGAAACGGATAATTGCTTAGGTTTTAAAATTCACATTGAGAAGGTGAAGTGAAACTAAAACATCTTGTTAAGAGAGCTTTCCGCCTCAAACATGATTAAGTCTTAGCTTGCCAAGTACTACTTATTTAACTCAAGGCATTAGGGTTACTAGGAATGAAGAAATAAACAGAAGGTTGGCATAGGAAAATGTTGAGTATTTCAGATACAATTTGAGAAAACTTCAATCGAAAAATTGTACGTAGAATTTAACCTTCCAAAATTATTATTTGGAGTGGCTGTGCAACCCAAAACTGATCAAATTAATCTGCAATTGGCAGAATATCCAGCCCTAAAGTACTCTTCTGATTTAACTGCACCTGTTTAGGATTTGCTGTAGGAGCAGAAATTCCTCAGTGACATAACTTCATGTTTCAAGTTTTAAAATCATGGACAGAATTTATATTAATGTTTAAATTTAAAAAAGCAAACTAATCTCACCTGATTAGTTTCCCTCTCCTTCTGTGTTTTCTCATTGTACCATGGCTCATCATGCTTGCTCTGCCACACATATTTAAGTGTGGTGCACACAAGTGCCTTGCTCACCAGGATAGAAAGATAAACCAAAAGGAAAGCATTGATAGACCTAAAAGAGAATATTTGAGTTACAACAAACAGCAAATCATATGTGTCTAAATCAGTGTCTTGAAACAAACGTACTTCTCCACAGCAGACCGTTTCTGAGATTTGCCTTGGTAGTTAAGAGCCATTTTTGTCTCCATTCCAGTGTAAACCGCAACACCTTGAGAGAGGGAGAGAAAGACATAAAAAAAGTATCAGCATTCTGGAGAAGAAACCATCCAGTTTCACTACTTTGATTTGACTCACCACATATCTTTCGAGTGTTCTTCAAATTTGCCCCTTTCAGCAGGAGGTTTTCTGGCCCTAAAGATCTGGACAATCACATCAGTTGATTAAATACACTTCTGCAGTGATTCAGGGGCTGTGCAATCCACATAAGCCTCTATTCTTTAAATGGGAACCTGGCAGGGCATACGTTTTAACATAAGCAGTGACAGTGAGGCTGCGGTCCAGGTTTCGACCTGTCCCAGTGATCTTCAAAAGGACATTGGGAATTCTTTGAGTCTAATACAATGTAGTCAATAAAAAAATGCCAGTGGGAGTGCTTTGGAAGCAGTGACTGACCCCCTGCCAGCCCGTTTAAATGTTAATGCTTGTTTGCAATGAATGATCAATAGAGAAGTGATTTGTTAGAAATGCAAAGGGAAACAAATGGGTACTTAAGGGGCTGTTTTTGATTTTGCTCCCATTTGAGGTGGATTGGTATAGCTGTGCATCGGAGCTCTCACCTTATGTCAGGCTCCTGACTGTTTTTGTAGATGTGCATACGGCCGACAAACCTGAAATAGAATATCATGCACTTAGATTAAAAAGCTCAAAACTGATGTTTACATACGCTGTATAAATTTCACTAAATGAATATGAGATATATTTTAACGATTTTTAACAACTTAATAAAAAACAACAAAAATATATGTACATTAAGCCTATTATGCCTATAAACAATTTGCTAAAGTCCAAATGAACTCATAAATTAAATAAATGTCTTTCAGTTTAAAGGCTACCAAAATAGGAGGAAGCCTTTACTCTAAGATCTAAAAAGCCAGGTTAGTGTTTGCAAAGGTTGCCAGGGACAAGAAAGGTATTTCTGAAGACAATTTCTTTTGATCAGCCCTTTGGGGGCTTATGAACACAATGAACATTGTTGGATTTGGTGGCAAAAGTAGGAAGGTGGAAAGCCTAACAGCAACTCCAACTGTGTGAGTGCATCATATAAAAACATAACCATTGTTTCTCACTTCCTTCCGTGACATTAAAACAGACCTAACGCTTCCTTTTTCTAGTCATTTAGGGTATGAAAAAGTGTCTCTATTTGCTAAATGCAACAATTAAAAATGATTTTTTTTTCTTACTTTAAACTTAAGGATTTACAAACATTAATATTGTTATTCGTTATGTGATTTGAACCTCCCCACAGATGATGATATCATGGGTTTCTTAGCTTCTGATTAAACCGTAACTTTTGAGTTTACTTTAAATGCAGCCATGTAAGAAATGCCTCAAACATGCTGATTACTTCTGCAACATCATGTCAAGAGGATTGACATGATGTTGTGGTTGCCAGGTTCACCTGTTCAAACAATTATATCTACATATAAAGAGCACTGGTACAGGTACTATACCATTCAGGAAGAACACAGGTTGTGTCCAAGAGATAAATGTGTTTTCATACATAAAAAAAGACAGAAACAAAGACTTTAATGTCTAGAGAAATGCCCTCTGTTCTGATGAAACTGAAATGAAGATGATTGGCTCTAATTACAGTTACTAAATTTTAAGTAAAAGGATGGTATTTTAAGAAAAGAGGGAAGCTTGCAAGCTTCAGAACATTTTTCCAACTGTAACATAGGGAAATGGTAGTATTATGTTGTGACTGTTTTTTGCCCTGCAAGAAGGGTGAGTTCCCTTTACAAAGTAGACTGCATCACAAGGAGAGAAAATTACATGAAATATTGAAGAACCATCAGTAGAACTCAGCCAGGAAGTTACAGGTCAATCACAGATAATTCTTAGCAAAGATAAAACTCTATTTTGGTCAAAAATCCTAAAACATGATTCAGTCACATAAATTTTATAAGAAGGAATTGGTTAAAATTCAAACCAATATAGAGAAAGAAAGTCAACATGGCTGACCAAAACTATAAGGTTTGAATGGAAAATTGTGCAAAATACCAAGGATACAAGCTTCTGCAATTAAGTTACAAATAATTTTCTGAAATCTAGTAAAGAGAAATATTCTCTGTTAATCCTAACAGACCTAATACAGAACATTTTGATTTGATTTATTGCAAGACAGAGATATAAAATGTTCACACATTTTTTATATCAGATGTACTGAAATATCTGGTTTCAACTCCATATGTGTCATCTTTATCTTATTTTCAAACATTCAAACAGCACTGTGTAAATCCAACACAGTGCAGACATCATACGCTGGCAGTGTTAATCTGCTGTGACCCCCATGGTGAGTGACTTACTTGTAAAGGTCAGGTTGAGGCTGTTCACACTCGATGGTGGCATTAAGATATTGCAGATCACTCTCTAAATCTGGCACTGTGTAGTGTGTCTAGAAGGTAAAACAACGACAGAATAAAAACTGTGAAAACTGACTTAGGTCAAATGATAATTCTTGCTTAATTTTCTCTATCTCACTACGAAAAAGAAGAAATGTGTGCAAATAAAACATACTGAGAGGCTGTAACAAAAACAGGAAAGGTAAAAATACGGAGTAAAGCAACATGTCTAAAAAAAAAAAAAAAAACTTAAAAGAAGCTTGTCTCAACCAGATAATTCAAATTTTTCAAGAACTTTGATGACTGTTATCTGCCTCTAATTCTAAGAATTAAAATTTAAACTTTAGGTCTGAGATGTGGATTAAAAGGTAGTTGGAGATAGAGAGCCGTGAGTCTCACTTTGTGGTTGGACTCGCCATCCAGACTTGCTGTTGTAACAAAACATGTGCCATCTTCTCGACTGGACTGTAGTAGGATTAAATCACAGGGAAAGGTCTCATCCTCTTCTACTTCCAAAATGTCTCCAACCTTCAGTCAACAGATAAAGATAAGAGTGAGTTAAGAAAAATGGCCTATCACAGTAGAACAGACAATAAAGAAAATTAACACAGCTAAAACATAAGAGTAGGTACACAAAAATTATGGTACAGCACCTATAAGGGTTTTAGAGTTTAATTCAATTCAATTCAAAAATACTTTATTATTCCCAAATGGAAATTAAATGTTGCAGTAACTCATAGGTTATTTTTTAAACAGGTTCTGTAGGTGTTGATAGCTGTAGGCAGGAGGGATCTTCTCTAGTGGTCCATCTTGCACCAGATCTGGAGAAGCCATTTACTGAAGACCCTCTGTTGGTTAAAAATCTTCTGAAGAAGATGCTCACAGTTGTCCATAATCTTTTTTTTCACATTAGGAAGTATTCTTCTTTGTGAAATAATCTCCAGAGGTTCTAGAGGAGTTCCTAGAAGAGAGCTGGCCTTCTTCATTAGCTTGTTGAGCTTTTTTATATCACTAGCTAGGGCTGGGTACCGAACTTCGGTACTTTTATGGTACCGACCGAAATGCTTCGGTTCTACAGAGTATCGAAACATGCCTCGTCTTTCGGTACCAAGTTTCGGTGATTGGCTGGAACACTTAAGGTGATTGCGTCATCCAGGAAAAATACACAGGTGGTCACGCCTACAGCCAGGGTTCATGTGTATCTGTTGTGAACTGGTTGCAGCGTCGCGGAACCCCTTTAAAATGCCCCCCAGGTCAAAAGTGCGGCTTCACTTTATTAAGACTGATGCTAATAGTGCACAATGCAATACATCGTGCACGGAAATAATTTAAGAGCAGAAAGTCGCTCTGTGTTTGACTGCAAGAAGAGCGGACCGCAGCCAGCGCGACCATCCTCCTCTCAGCAGCCCGTGGGCAGAGCAAAGCCAGAGCGGAGTGAATCATGCTGCTTTCAAACTGGACGCAGCAAGAGCAGCAAAATCTCGTCTGCTGCTTCCTTTTTGCTGCTTGTACCAGCTTCTGACGCGCTGCTGAAGAAGCTTTGCTGCTCTGGCTGCGCGGTCGCAAAGTGGGTCAGACGCGCGTTGGGCGGAGCTACTCTATCCTTTATTTGCCTTGCAGCTATATTTGCTGTGATCAGTGGGAATAAAGTAGTTTTATTATGTTTTTAAGTGGGAAAATCCACCTGAAAACGTAATCAGTGCAGTCAGTTCATCCTGCCTTCAATATTTCTGTCGGAGCCGCTCAGACCCCCCCCATACCAGCGGTGCGCTGTCAGTAGGATCCCATTCAACGGGCTTGTTTGTCAGACATGGTAATTTTTCTAAAGGAAAACTGCTAAGTAAAAAGGTCCTCACAATGTAACAGTGAATATTAGACACTGAATTATTTATTTTTTTATGTAAGAGGAAAAATGTAAATGGAAAAACAGAGCTTAAAATAAAACTCAAGATTTGTACTTTTTTATGTTGTGTAATTTTCTTTTTTTTCGAATTGATATTATAAAACTGGTATCGAAAAAAGTATTGTTCAGGAACCGGTATCGAAGTGAAGGTATCGGTATTGGTACCGGAACCGAAATTTTTTTAACAATACCCAGCCCTATCACTAGCTAACTAATATCGTTATTCCAGCAGAGGATGGAAGAAGGGATCACTCTCCACAGAAGACCTATAGAAGATATGTAGCATCTTGCTGCAAAGGCTGAAAGACCTAAGCTTCTTTAGGAAGTACAAGACATTCTAAATCACCAACATTTAAAGGTCATCTTTCCCTTCTTGTAGATTGCTTCACATTTGTGTCTCCAGTCTAGATTGTTATCCAGGTGAACACCAAGGTGTTTTTATACTCCCCCGCCTCCTCCACTTCTTTTCCCACGATAGTAACAGGATTCAACTTGTTCCTGTTCCTTCTAAAATTTACAATCACCTCCCTTGTTTATCGACATTTAGGATCAGATAATTATTTCAACACCATATCATAAAGAGGTAAACCAGCTCTTTGTACTCAACTTCTTGTCCCTCTTTGATGCACCCAAGTTATAGTTGTACATTTTTGTAAGAACTCTAAGCTTCAATCATAAATATGACAAAATTATATGATTTTTTTCCTCTTTATTATGTTTAAAAATATATGAATATTTGTGAAAAGCTGCTAGAGATTTGGTTTGATTTCTTTTAGTGAATTCACTGATATCTGTAGGCATAGCAAACATGTGTTAATGTAAATACTTTTTTAGTTAACCCACACTTTAGAATAAAACATTTCTAAACCATTTGTGAGTTGTTCTGATGTATACCTCGGTAACAAGCCATGCCAGGTGTAGCTGTTGGGAATGTCACCTTTCAATGTATCACTTCACTTGCATTGCATAAAATGTTTAGAATGATTAGATGCCACAGGTTCTTATTTGGATATCAGCTAAATGTTTTTCCTGTATCTGTTATTTTTATATTCAGCCTGAAGTTGCTACATTTGAGTAATTTGTTGTAGTGCACAGTGAGGTGCATAAGAAACCTTAATCCCCTAAAAAGTGATAATCTAGTGAACATTTTGTTTTGTGGTGACAATATGTCCTATATACAGTAGCACTGTATTAAAACACTTACAGGGGTTTGGGCTTCAAAGGGCACCAAGTTAAGTTAGCACCAATAATCAAAAGCTTGATCAATGTTTACCCTCATTTTTATTCCCTTTTTTCTTATTTCTTTTATTAGATCTGAGAAATATTATGCCAAGAAGTAGCCATTTCTTATGCTATGATGGAGCTACTGGGACCTTCAATGACTTCAACCTACGATTCCTATTGGTGCAGAATATTTTAGTATTAATTCAAGTCAATAAAAATATACAGAACAATTTTATGTAAAATTATTACTTTTTTCTTCACCAAACTAGATGCTTGGTAGATGTAATATTTTTGGTAAATAATTTAATTGATTTTTTTATAGTGATGACCTTTAAATACTGGTGGTTTAGAATGTCTTGTGCTTGATATTTACAGTCCAGTAAGAGACGTTTGTAGGCAGTGTTCGAAATTAAATTTTTGACTCACCAGCCAAATGGACCGGAAGAGAAATTATTTACTGGGCCAGAAAAAAATAATAATTTTCTCTCATATTTTTAAAGAACATATTTATCACTAAGACATTATGTTACATTAAAAACAAGGTTACAGTAAAAGGTAATTTATTTTTATTAAATAAAGTTGTAGTTTAGAATGTCATTACATTTCATTCAAAAACGTACAAAATACTTTTATTTGATGAAATGGTCTAAATAAAACCATTCCCAAACAGCATCAGATTGTCCATTAATAAAAGCATAGCCTTTCTTCCAGTTGCATGGGCAGTGCAAAACAATATTTTCATCTTTGTGTGTTTGTGTTGATATAGTGTTTAGCGCATTCATAGTGGCTGTGGCATGGGTTGTTTATATTAAGCCTGTGACATGGACATCCAACCAATGGGGCGTTTACTGTGCATGTGTTGACTGATGCTCTCCAGTTACATAGATTGACAGCCAGCGACAAATGAATGGTGTCTGTTCTCTTTCACGCATATGATGCACGCTAGGCAGCTCATTAGCTTAGCATCATTTATTTCCTATGCTCCACTTATCTGGAACAAACTTCCAGAAAACTGTAAAAGTGCGGAAAGTTCCTTTAAATCAAGACTAAAAACACATTTGTTCAGGATTGCCTTCGACTGTTCTAGTTAAACAGTTCAACTAAAACATCATTAGTTCAACTTTATTTTCTTTAGTCTAACTGTTTTTAATATTCTTTTTTGTTTCTGCATTTTTTATTTAATTTTTTTTTTTTCCTAATTGCTTTGATTCCATTTTATTTTCCTATATTTTAATCATGTAAAGTTTGTACTGAATTGTGCTATACAAATAGATTTGCCTTGCCTTGCCTAGCATCATCGTCATAAATAAGCCAGTCTCTTGAAAAACACAGTCTTCCCAAAAGCGCTATTTTTCAAAAAATGTTCTCTTAGCCCTCTAGGCTGTAGATCCTCGCTCCCCCTCCTCCTCATTGGCATGTTGTCTTTCAGAAGGCTCAGTTTCTCAAACTGTATACTATATATTGTTTTTGTGAAATCACTGGGTGTTGTGGGTAAGCTCTCTGAGTGCGCAATTGTGGTCCAAATATTTACTCATCTTGTGGCGAATGGTGCTCTTGCATTAATTCGCCAAATGAAAAATGCAGTTGCAAGTGGCAAGTGTTCATTTCAGACGCTGTTTTTAGGCAGACAAATGCCTCATTATATTTTTTTCTTCAGAGTCTGATGTAGCATGTGTGGAGCAGGCTGCTACATTAGACTTTTGCTATAGTAGTCTTTATTATAAATTAAGACACAAAACTCCTGTATAAGGTATTAATCAAAACAAAAAAGCATAACTTAAACCTTTAAGGACTCATGCAAGGACATTGCTCATGATTTTGTTCAAATGCAATCACATTAAAAACTTATTTCATGTTTTAATTTTTGCAAGGAAAAATTATTTAAGAAATAATGTTGATAATTTTTAAAGAAAGGTAAACAAAAACAAACACCCAATAAGTTTAGTAGGAGTTTGTAAGTGTTTATTGCCTAGACTATGATACAACTTGGCAATTTATTATTTCTTTTTATAAAGCTACATAAGTTATATTAATATTAGCTTAATAATTAGTCACAACACTTGAGTCATTAGCTTCTCTCGAGTTAGCTTTAGCCACTAAACAAAAAAAAAAAAATAATAATAATAATAATAATCTTTCTGATTCAAAAAATGAGGGGACCCTAGTAGTAGCCAGTTAACAAGCAGTGCACAGTCATATGTGTGGTAAGATGCCATTCTATGCTTAAAATAAGCAGAGAAAACTTTGGTTACTTCATTATTTTGCTTTACATCTAATTAGACAAACTTTAGACCATAACCGTAGGCTCTAAATGTGTATTAGTCTTGAAGCTGTGACCAAATGAAAGTAGAGTTAGACAAATACATCGGCAAGCTTTCATTTTTGGCAGATTTGTTTTTTCTTATAACCGTATCAGCTGATACATGCAAGGGTTGGCCGATTTATTATTGCATCAGCAGTCAGGCTTTAAAATCATGTGAAATGTCTGGATTTCCATTTCCCTTAATTTGCATTAAATTGTTAATGTTTAGTTTGTTTATTGTATTTAATGATTCATTCCTGTTCAAATGAAAACTTGTGTAACATTTTTCATCATTGTGTCATTTTTATCTTGTAAATGGAGGAAGGAAAACCTATGTTGGTTCTAAAAATCAATGCAAAAAAATTAGCTGCTGATCAATTGGGCTGCTGTCAAAATTATTAGTAATGGCACGGCCTTAAAAAATTTTGGTTGATCTCTACCTGAAACCTTGGTATAGCTTTTTATGAAGCCCAATGTCCACACAACCTGAGTTTATCTTGGGTTTTCCAGCCTCTTAGGCTTAAATGATTTTATAGGTTGCTGTCAAGTGGCTTAAACATATCAAAGTCTTAAAGCTGGCATAAAATCGAACTGAATTGCTACAGAAACTGCGTATTACCAAAGTGATATTGATTATTATCAGCCCATATTTAAAAAGCTAAACAGGCTGCGTCAGCAGGAATATTGTTTCATTTACCCTTATTGATCTAGGCTTTGGGGCGTGTACTAAATGTTACCTTGATCTTCTCACTCTGTTTTCTTTTCATCTCGCCATTCTCCAGTACTGTCACCGGGTACTCATTCACCTCACGGTCGGCCTTGTGCCGCAGCCAATCCTCATATCCCTGTGGTAATGTGTCAAAACAGAAATATATTGTTTGCTGAGCAAGGTAAAAATTGCAAACTTTCACAGAGTCATTACTACTAGCGGCATGATGAGATCAACACAAGTCAAATAATGAATAAAGTTTGTACTTCTAAACAAAACAGAACAATAATGGCTGTAAACTTTCTTAGTACTGTTAACCTTCCAAAAGAGCTATTTAAAGGGATACAGTTAAATAGATACCATCAGGTAGAATGTAAAGCACATTATGCAGTCATACAAGGCATACAATCAGGTTAATCCCTGAAAAGTTTTGATTAAGGTACAGGGGATGCTGAAGAAGAATGGGTGTTATTCATGCCAAGACTGATGTTCAGCCAAAATGTGGGATAACAGGGAAAGGTGAAATAAGAGAAAGTCTGGTTGATTAAAAAAGAGGACTAATTCCAGGGAGAGGATAAGGAGAGGCAGTAGGAATTACTTCACTCAAAGTAATGAAGACAGGCAGACCTCCTTGGAGTCCCACATCAAACCCTGGCTAAAACTGGAGCTCTATTATCAACGCTTCCCTTTTATTTTTGCAGGGAAGTCCACCAACTGTTGTATATTTCAAAGTCCCAGCAGTAGACCAGCTAAAAGGTCCACTCCTAAACAATACATCTAACACTGGGACATTGCAGCAACAGAACTAAAGAAAAAGAAACTCCCCTTGATAATTTGTATCCCTCTAATAAACTGGCTGGCTTGTTCCCTCTCCAATTACTCACACTTCCCTGGAGCTCATTTCATCTTTGCCCCAATAGTAGCTAACCAGCAGAGCCCATTGATACCAAAGAGATTAGTCAAGCAGTTTATAGAAAAAGGCAACAGAACTTAATGTCTTATATACCGAGTGGGGGTGTAATGCAATAAAAAACAATGGAAAATGAGGACATGGCAATAGAGACATAATAACATTTCTATTATCTCCACTGATCTGCCTCATTAGACAGGGTCTTACCTGTTTGATAGCAGTTACTGTGATGACAAAAAATAAAGGTAGGCCACTGGTGACTGGGCTTGTAGGGGTGTCCACTATCACCTGTGAGGCAAATGAAAAGATTAATTTAGGTCTTCAATCATAAACTTGTGATGTAGGAAGTTATCTCTGCGACAGGAAGACTGTGTGGTAATAGTATAAAATATATGGCTAAAGCCCCTTGAATGCAGAATGTAACCCATTTCTCTGAGATTCGTAAATTATATCACATATTTTAACAAAAGAAGAGAAATTAAGGAAACATTTGTATTTTAGAGGGAAGCAAAGTAAGTTCTGGGCTAAGAAACTTTTAATCAAGAGAGACTGGGATGGAGTGCCTTAATCCAAAGGCATGCCAACACTTCTGTGTCTCTGCCAAGGCATCATAGAGGGCCAGTAAGGAGCTTTGCCAAAGTTATGTTATTATGCCCCCCCATTCACCATCCAGCCCCCTCAGCTGTGTAGTGGGATATCTAGATATATATTGTGTGCATGCACAGCAGCTATGATTAGCAGAATTGATTCTTACCAGTTTAGATTGTGTAATATAACAATACATTCTATGTTTTTGTGTTAATTTAAACCATGTAATGCATTTACTTTGCATTGTTGGATACACTCACTCACACCCCCCCAAACCTGCCTTTTTCTCACCCAAGTCCCCTCTCTAGCTGCAGAGCCGGTTTTATTTGGCATGCACAGACATGACCTACTGAACCAATTTATATTCTTGGAATAACTGCTGGGAAATTTCATATTTCTTTTTTCTCACACTTGCATGAAGATAAAATGGGAAAACGTCTAAATAAACAGGAGCACAGAAGTCATTTTTAATGTTTTATTTACCTGTTCACAGGAAACAGACAGAACAAGTCCAAAGATTAAAGCTAAATCTACTTCATTCTTACAGAAAATTAGCCTGACGTAGTCCGACTCAATTCTAGTCAGAATATGAGTCTGATACTGCTCCATAGAGCTGTGATTATGGGGCGTGTTTCGAACGAACCAGGAAAAAAAATGCCTCTGTACTCAATTGGATAGACCTACAACCAATAAGAGCAACGGAGTGCGTGACGTATCTTAAGCGAGGCATAGTTGTTGTCCACAACAATCAAAGCGTGCAGTTTCACGCCTAGAATAAGAAGATGAGCCTTGATCGCGTTTCTCTGTTCCTCTTTTAAAATTAATTTGCTGTCGATATCTTCTAGAACAGACCTAATAGCAGAATCTACTCACCCAAACTCTCCAGCGGCAGCCATTATTGTTGTCACCCAAGCGCGCTTTGGTCACGTGGTTGATAACGTTACTCTTGCTCATCTGTCCATCATCGTATAAAGCCCGCCCTGACAATTTGATTGGATCGCCTGACAGTGGGCTTTAATACTCGCGCTACTATGGAGCAGAGCCAGACCGAACTTCCCCGAACTCAAACCTTGTGGGCGGGACTAAGTTCGGACTGGCACCCAGGCTAACAGAAAATACTAATATCTTTGGAATAAACCATCTCAATTAAACAGATAAGACACAGTGGTAACACAGCCATATTTAGATCAACTGATTGCTTTGTTTGGAAAAAAACTGAAAGAAAACTCATCATTTATACATTATGAAGCTCCCGTAGGTACATATAGCAAAACTCAACAAAGCAAGCAGCGCGATCCATAAAAATTATGCACGTGTATCAGCTTCAAGGTACTGAAAGCTGCAACCTACTGTAAGCTAGGTGGATTACTAAATTAAGCAAAGCATTGTTCTCCCCAGTCATTTGAGTTATAAACCGATTAACATGGTCAGAGTTCACCATCAACAATACTAGGATCAAAACAGAGCAATTATAAACTCTTCAAAGGTCCTACTGAACCATTCTATATTCACATCAAAACCAATATAAACATAACCCTGAAATGAACAAATAACTAGAATTTTAATGGTATTGGGAGATAAGTGCATCAATAATACATATCATAAAAAATTCATCGTCATTATATATATATATATATATATATATATATATACATACACACATATATATATATACACACACACGTATATATACATACACACACACGTATACATATACACACAATTATGATGTGTGAGGACAAAACCTATGTCTGTCACCGAGTTGTAAGGAGAAGTTTTAACTGCTTTTCAATAATATTCGTTGAAGACATTTTTCTTTTAGTGTGATAACTACCGGTACAAATGCTTGGAAAGCTATTCAAATGTAATTGGGGAAATGTAATTCCTGAATTTAAAAAAAAATAACAAATAAAACAATACACTTTATCTTCTGACATTTACCAAATATAGTGTTGGTAATCCTAAGGGGCCTAAAATAGGTAATGTTTGGTATGTTTTATAGCTCGATAACAAGTACTTTTAGCTCTGCTTGGTTTTTATTTTTATAAAATGTAAATTTGCTTGACTTCTCCACATGTAGCTTCACATAAAAAAATATTTTTACATGTCAATCTAAAACATTTTAACACCAAACGGCAGGTACAGCATTACTTTCAAAGATAACGGATCCCAATTTTCAAGAAGACTTCAAAGTATTTAAATATGTCAAGCAATTGTGGGGAATAACCACAACCACAATGACTAAAAAGAGAATAACTAAGTGATAAGGCATTCAGAAAGCCACACACAGCTCAGCCTAAAGCATCCTAATCAATCTTTAGATCGTCCTTTGCATTTGACTATTTTTAAACCACAGCACTTCAGTTAGGAGCAGCTGTTTAAACTGTGCATTATAAATAACCTTCAGAAATAAAGAAGTACCAAAGTTAGCATTCTTACTTTGGTACTTCTTAGGAGTATACTAAAGAGCTAAAAAAAGACATTGTGGGTGGTAGGATCTTTTTTTAGGGTCTGGGTACAAAATGTTCAATCTAAGACTGCTTTCATCTTCATTCCATGACAAATATTATCATTTCAAAGTTGAAAAGGTTCTCACACTAAAAACATAATCACTTTTATTGTTCAAATAGGAATTGTAAGCTGTGTTTCATTGCATTAATTGGTTTGCTCATAATTGCAAATTTTGGTAATAAAGGTTATGTGCAGAGGGAGCTTGCAGTGGCAATCTGGGCAAGATGACACATAAAAATTTTATCTGAAAGAAAATAGTCCTAGCAGAATCCATCTTAAAATAAAGATAATTTCAGAGGATTTTTGTAAATAAACAGCACATTCACAAGCACATAGACAGTCAGCCAATGGCCTTACTAAGCAGTACTTTATCAGCAGTTTTCCACAATTGGCTGGACATTTTACTTTAATATATAACCTAATAAAAAGCTAGAGCTTAAACTCCAGAAGGTTAAATAAAAAACTCTGTACATCTAAGTGAAAGAAAACAGCTTTATTTGGAATCGTAATCAGAAATGCGGTCACATGTTTCCTTTCTGGTGAAATTGCTTACATATTTTTTTTAAATCTCTCTGTTTTAATGACTTAGTCGATCTTTTTGCCATCCTGCCAAACAATAAAACTTTACCATTGCTTATCATTTTGCTTGGTGTTTTATCATGCTATTCAAAAAGTTTTATCATTTTTTTTTTTTTTTTTTTTGAGTTTTTATATCACTGGTGGCTTGTTTTTTTCGACAGTAGGCTGACAGGAAAGGGGGCATGAGAGAGAGGACTAAGACCTCGTATAGTGTGAGTTGTAGCTGCGCACAACAATTGAAAAAAAAAAAAAAATCACACAGCGTATGCTCAGCATAAAAGGTGCATAGCAGATCTCAACTAGTTTAAACCCAACAATCCAACAGAAAAATGCCCTGTATGATTTTAGGTATAAAGAAAATTTTCCATTATTCATAAATGTAATGTTAATCCCCTATCTAAGGCTACATTCACACTGCAGGCCTTGATGCTCAATTCAGATTTTTTTGGGTTGCTGTTCACATTTCCAAAAATATAACACTTGTATGTGATCTCCTGTGTAAACTGCATTCATACAGCTTAAATGTCCCGCATGTGCAGTAAAGGACGCAATTATGTCACAAGCCAGCGTGCTCCGTGTTTAGGGAAGCAAACATGCATAGTGCTGGAGCACATCTAGCGATCTTTCCAAACCTTAAAACCTCAATCTTTTCAAGATGGTAAAAAAAAAAAAAAATACTGCTCTGCGCATCATCTTCTGCCATGGTGTTTGGTTTTCTCGATGCTTCTGTGTAACAAGAAGCAGAATAGTGACCCATGTCAGTAACTAATGGCGTTCAGTTCAGAGGAATGCGACCTTTCCGTTCAGACACAGGTCGAGTTTGAAAAGATCAGATTTGTTTCGGATTCAGGACCACATAGCCAAGTGGCCTAGGTCTGATGGGAAAAAATTGGATCCGTTTTGTTCAGACAGCCATGAAAAGATCAGATCCAGGTCGCATATGGGCCAAAAAAATCTGATTTGGGTGACTTCAGGCTGCAGTGTGAACGTAGCCTAAGATTTACAACACTCAAAATTAACAGTTCCATTTCATTTAACTTTATAAGGGAACCGTTTACAACCACAAACAAGACAGTTCAGAGCATCATATTTTTGTGCCATGTGCTGTGACAGTCAACGATGCACACTATTTTTCCTACACTAAACTTTCAGATACCCCACCACCTTTCTCCAATGCACCAAACGCAATGCCAAAAAATATATAAATAAATAAACTAAACTCTGCAGTATAAGTGAACTGTGTGCTCCTGCTGATATGCGGTTGTGATTTGAGAGCGGTACAGCAGAGCTGCACTTAATCTGATGTGGGATACGTGTCAGGGTGAGCAACAGACAACCGCTCTCGAGAGTCCCTAGTGCTGTGCCGAGGGCATTGATGTCCTCCTACCCAGTCTTCCTTTCTCTCTCTCGTTCTCATTTTCAGTCTCTGTCTCTCACAGTACTCTATTCCCGTTCGACTGAACTCAGGCAAAGACATACAGGGGCTATTTATAGAAAAGTGGTGCTTTTTTTTCCCCCCCCTGTGTCTATTTGTGTCGCTGTGAAGTACAGAGGGCTCCCTGGCTGCTTACGTCAGCAGTGCAGCGCTGCAGAGACACGGGGGGCTATGTGATAGAGACAGAGAAAGAAAGACGGCATCCCTAGGATTGAAGAAGAAGAGGAGACAAAAGGTTGATGGAATAGAGTCGGAGGTTAAATGACATCAATGTTTGGGTATTTGCATATAGTCTCTCTCATGGGATGTGGGATGTTTTATATCTGTAGGAAAAATATTCAAGTGCAAATCAGCTGCACACTTTACAGTTCCACACCATCTAAAATACTGGCATGTTTTGTGAAATATAACCAACTGTTTACCTTAAGGAGGCTCCTGCAAAGAATGGCCTTATCCAAATCAGTTTATCACGCTTCAGCATCAATGAACACCATTAATAACAGTAGACTCTTCAACTAATTTTTCAAGGAAGCAAACAAACACATTCTTCTATTTACTGTAAACCTGAGACCTTTGTTTACAACACAGCAATAGAAAATGCACATTTAATGCAAACATGTATGCTGATTTACACCCACAAGACATTGTGCACCGTTAGAGGACAACAATTTCAGAAATGAATTTATCTTAAAAAATAACATGATTGTAATTAGGGCTGTGCATCAACTGAATTTGTATGATTCTGATTCTCTTAAAAAAAAAGTATCATTGAAGTTTACATGTTATAAACTACCTGACTAACAAATTCTTGATACGATCATACAGTCTGAATTTCTTCAACAACTCCTTCAACAACTAACTTTGTGTGAACGTTACTATAAATTATCACGGTTATTTTCTACCATCAGTATATACATATCAAACCTATGAAACCTAATACAATATTTATGAATTTTCTTCTCAAAGAGATGCATTTTAACATGAAGTATTACTTTTTTTCTTTTAAACACAGGAACCAGAATAATAAAATCAATATATTTTGCAAGCAGGTTTCAACTATTTAAGTTAATTTAGGCATTAATAAACAGTTTCAGAGGATTAATCATATGGTCTGCCTCAGCATTGCAGTGTCTGTCTCCCTGCCAGCTCCCAGATCAGCTTTTCTGATTGTTTGACTTGGCTACACCTTGATGCACATCAACCATTGACTTTGCATCGAAACTAGCTGCTTCTGCTGCCTCTAGTGTGTGCGGTCTGAACGTAGCATTAGAGTTGCCTTTTGTATCTCTGCTTCTTAGTGCATGTCTGCTTCTGTCTCCTTGAACCCCAGTCGGCCTCGGCAGATGGCCGCTCACTCCGAGTCTGGTTCTACAGGAGGTTTCTTCCTGTTTAAAGGAGTTTTTCCTCTCCACTGTCACTACAAGGATGCTTAGTGTGAGGGATTGCCTTTGAGTCAATGAGTCGATGCAAACAACTGCTTTTCCTTAGATAGAAAACTTTGAATCAATTTGACTGTGTGATCTGGTTGAATTGTAAAGTGCCTTGAGATGACATGTTCTGAATTGGTGCTACATAAATAAACTGAATTGAAATTAAACAGATTTTAAATGAACTGCAATAAACAATGATTGGAGTTACACTTAATTATTTATAAGATAGGCTCATCTATGTTAAACTGTCTTCCATTCTATCCAGAACATGTTTAAAATGAGGCAAGTATATGTTAAGATGTAAAGTAAGAGGAAAATAGTACGAAGACAGTTTCTGTTCTACCTGCAGAAGATGCACTGTGCATTTAAAGGAGGAACAAATTCCCTCAGAGAACCTACGTTACAACAGCGGTGCAATGGGTCAAAGACGAGTTATGTGGTGTTAAATAATATTGGCTGTATGTGGCATCCTCTGTATGATATAATCCCACTGGTCTTTTCCTTAATTATTGTTAAGCAAAACATTTGAATGCTGTATCACAGACAGTTGCAGAGAAAACTCTTTGGGATCATCTTAGATAATATATAGTATTAAAACTAAGAATCGAAAGAAAAAAAATTGTGAACAATTCCACGAGAATTAAAAGGTCTGAAATGATTCAGGTCAATTATGGATTCCCAATGCCAAAGCCTACTTGTAATACACTTAGGCACACCAAAAAATCTGAAAAACAAACTAAGAAAAAGCAGTTGAAAGCTATTAAAGGGGAAAACTTTAATTATTTGGGTCTATTTAAACTGATAAGATCTGCATCTGTGAGCTACAGAGCTGGAGTGATGGGAACTACCCGTCAGAGCTTGTTTAGTCAGTATGACGGCTGAGAAAAAAGATTCTGCCCTGTAAGTGAGCCCAAACTAACATCTGTTTAGTTTGGAGAGATGTTTACTGGAATACTTCAGGTTCCTTCCAAAGGGGAGCATCTAGTTCCTCCTTTTAGGAGTCAAGTAAAAAGTTCTAGGAATTATGGACAAAAAGGCAGAGGGAAAATCCAGTCATCTTTATTTTTGCTGCCAATTCTGAGGGGAGAAGAATAATTTACTTTCTTTAGTGCTAAGACAATATGTTGTGATCTTTGAAACCTCAGTTTGCATTAACAAACTATAAACAATATCCTGCTACACAAGGGCCACACAAGGTCACTTAAGCAGGGCCCCTTCTGTGTTTTGAACAACTCCTAAAAAATCCCCTCGATTAACACGTGATAAAGTAGAGCAAAGGGGGAAAGATTTAGCCTTAAAATGGTTGCTTCGACATATTCAGCAGCTCATCAACTTATAGGCTTGTATGGTATAAAACCACTTTAAGAAAGCAGTTAAAAAGAATAACAACACATGAGAATACCGAGGCTGTGGTCAACGTCTGGACAGGAGATCTTGTTTAAATCATAGGCAGATGGTTTTCAAACTCAGCCTTCAGGACCCACTGTCTTGCATGTTTTAGGAATTTATTCTATCTTTACGAATGTGACTTAAATAAATGGGTGATTTGTAGGCTTCTGCAGCCTGTGGCTGCTGAGGAAGGTATGCAATACTTTGATTCAACAAAGCAAAGGTTAGTGGGTATCGAGGATCAGGTTTGAAAACCACTCGGATCAACTTTGCTCTTATTTTAGGAATTCTAATGTTTACCTTAGGTTTTTTTCTACTCATTTTATTTTTATTCATATCTTATACAACTATTTACTTTCTTCATTACTATTTCTGCTAAATAGAAATATCTGAACTTCTAGAGAGGTTGCAAAAACACAATGTTAAGTCACACTCACTGTTAAACCACCCATGAGCTGATGTCATGTCTGTAATGTTTCACAACGGCCATGTACAAATTGATTTCCTTTCCTACATCACCTTCAAACAGGTTTACATTCTATATGTTGTTACACTGAACCATCAACACTTAAGGATATTTTGCAAATTAAAGGAGAAGTTCACTTTTTAACACTTTAAGCCCATTTTCTGTAGTGTCCAGGATGAAATCGAATGATCGACACCAAAATTTTGACAATTGGTCCTGTCTCTGCTTTTTGGCTCATGCAGAATCCCCCCCTGGCTGCTTTAGAATGGCTTTCTTAGAGCATGTCCGATAATGTCCTTAAAACAACCTTAAACGTTCTTTTTTTTAAATATGCTACTCACCGGGTCGTCAGCGCTGTTCAATGACGTTCCAAAAAAAGTTTCGTAAAGAAAAAACGTTCCTGTAGTGTTTTATTTAGCATTTTGTAAATCCCATTGAGTTCTGTTGGAATAGTCAATATTCCGCTGCCACCGGAAACGGAAATGGGGCCTGTTTACACAGTTGTAGTCTTTTCGCTTCACTCTGTGTACTCCGACGTCGAGAATCAAGAATCCACCTTTCGTATTCCATTTTCAGAGTTTTTTAAAGTGTTTAACAGAGACGTTAGCACCTCGACGTCGGAGTACACAGAGTGAAGCGAAAAGACTACAACTGTGTAAACAGGCCCCATTTCCGTTTCCGGTGGCAGCGGAATATTGACTATTCCTACAGAACTCAATGGGATTTACAAAATGCTAAATAAAACACTACAGGAACGTTTTTTCTTTACGAAACTTTTTTTGGAACGTCATTGAACAGCGCTGACGACCCGGTGAGTAGCATATTTTAAAAAAAGAACGTTTAAGGTTGTTTTAAGGACATTATCGGACATGCACTATGGAAGCCATTCTGAAGCAGCCAGGGGGGGATTCTAAATGAGCCAAAAAGCAGAGACAGGACCAATTGTCAAAATTTTGGTGTCGATCATTCGATTTCATCCTGGACACTACAGAAAATGGGCTTAAAGTGTTAAAAAGTGAACTTCTCCTTTAAGAAGAAATGCATGCACCAGCAAATATTGATGTGGTCTTGCAAGCTGAAAGACTGTCCTTACCTGCACCAGGAAGATAATGAGGAAGTAAAAATTGGCAATTCTTCGAAACTGTTCAAACAGGTTCTTTGGTAGAAAGTTCCAGATTGTATACTGCAAGACAGAAAACATGCATCAAAGTCAGATATACTAAAAGTATCAATTGCATTTTATGTGTTTGTATGTTGTGGTACAGTTCTTGATAGGGTTAAATCAGCAACAGCTGTTGCTATTTGAATGACAGATACTTCCTGTAAGTTGGTAACTTTACATCAGATAACACAAAAATCAGTTGTAGTGTTCCCCAAGGGTCCATCTCGGGGCCCCTCATGTTCAATATTGATCTAATTTAATATGAAAATATATTTATTTTATGTTCTGTTCAAGTACAGCCCACTTGAATTATCATGTTACTGCACTGTTCTATATGAACAAACTTGCCTAGTAAATAGGTTTCTGGGGAAGTTTTAAACCTATTTAATTTGGTTAACACAGGACATTAAGGGAGTGACCTTCAAAGCATTTATGTTGATAGACCCATTATTGATATACAATCTTAAAAAAAGTTTTTATGAGATAAAAAAAAAGAAATGAATGCTTAGAAATGAGAAAATATGTATTAATCAAAATATTCAAGCAAACAAAAAAAACTGTACTCTTACAAAGATAAGTTAAAAGTGAGGATATCACAATCCATTCCTGTATTTCTCATAAAAACTGCTTAATTTTGCACACCACTATGGCGTCTAACGTCTTTGCCTTCTAGCTTTACAAAAAAGAAACAAAGTCCAGTTATGGTCACTGTTTTCTCTTCAGCTGAGCACCCACTGCACACCTGTCAACGCAGCAGAGAGTGCCTGAGACATTGCAGGACTGGTTCCTCTGAGCATTGTATCGCTACTTGGGGATTCTTGTCAGCTGAATGTGAAATGTAAAACATTTCGGTCTGAAAACTTATCCCTTACACAAAGTACTTTCTAGCCAAGCAGTGTTTAGTCAAACCGTTTTAAGAAATTTGCTTTTGGAACCTCACTGCACTACCTACAGTTGGCTTGAGTCTGCATGGACTCTGCACAAACAGGATCAATTTCACATAAGTTTGTGTGCGCCTTAAATGGTAGCATCCCACTAAGTATACTATAGTGAGCAGGAATACATTTGTTTTTGCTTTTGTTTAAGTGGCCATGACCACTGATACAGTACCACTGGGCATAAAGAAACCCTTTTATCTACTTGACTTTCTGTGCACTAGTCTAAACAACATATTCCTGTTCAGCAAAGCAAACGCTAACACATGCCTGCACATGCATTTACAGAGCACTTCTACAGAAACGGCAATGAGGCACTGATTATATTGAGAAAAGTCTGCTTGGGGAGAGAGTTGAAATGCAGTGGCAGCAGAATGGCCCATCTCATTTTGGCTAGAGAGAAAAGAGAGTAAAAGTAATGAGAAAAAAGGGCGGGTGGCAGCGGTGCATGGGGGCTGAGTGTTGTGGTGCAGAAGCAGCTAACGTATGAGACGAGAGGCATGCATTGGTCATTGCAGAGTGCAAACGCAAAAAGATGATAGAGTGCAGAAGCGGCAGGAAGCATAAACACTACAGCCAGGGTAATTAAAGACTGTTTATCTTGACATGCCGGCAGGAGCCAATTGATCGGCCCCTGTACACCGAGACTGCGCCACTATAAATCCCATGGCCATCTTTCTCATGCATTGACTGATCCCGCCTTCTCATCCCCTTCACTTATGATATCACCAACACAGCCAGAAATACCCATCTGAGCTTGCTGATGAAACAGGGTAAACGCACAGGATGTACATGGGGGAGGCTTTCAAATCCTATGGGAAAACAACCAAATTGCTCACCCTTCTAGTTCATTATTATCATCCATGTATTTTACTGCCAAAATACAAGGTTGTCAGTCTTTGCTCCCTTGAGAGACAAATGATCGCCCTTGGTCGGGAGTAAAGACAAGCATATGGAATGGAAGAAGGGGAAGGAACAAAGATATGGGAATGCTCAGGGGTGCTTTAGAGTTCAATTTACATTCAAGGAGTTGAACAGGGAAAGAAAATGCCCTAAGGCTGGTAAAGCACAGTGAAGCACAGGTGCAAAAATGGTATTTGGATTTTTATTCATACATTCTGTTATCCTCTCTTCTTTTATGTCTTATTTATCCCTTTTAAGCATTCTTTCTACATACTCTGGTCATTGTTTGAGCTGTTGATTATGAGCCAAGCAATAAAAAAAAAAAAAACTTTTTTTTACACACCCCCAAATGTGACCAATATTGGGATTTGTGTTCTCTACACTTGCTTCTGATACCAAAAATTAAATACTAGGTATTATTGCATATTTTCAAACTAAAAAAAGTATACATCTAAATTTCCATTTTTTATTTGTTTTATAAAATCATTTTCATCAAAGTAAAAAAAAATGTTGTAATTACTAGATGATATAGAATGCGTAAATCATGAGTGCTTCTTACCTTAGAGGACACAATCCTGTTATCACAAAACTTTGGAGGAATAAAAGCTTCATTTGGGAGAGAGGACTTATGGCCAACATAGATTGTCCTGCTGTGAACTCTTCCCTCATCACCACCAAGCTACAGGATTCAAAAGTAGGGGAGGGAAGAAGGGGAAAAAGAAAAAGAGAACATATTCAGATGTTGGTTAAAAGTTTCAACATTGAACAAGACGTGATTTTTAACACTCTTTGTTGTGGATATTATAACGTAAAGCTTGCATGGAATGTAAGGATCATTTTTAAATTGGCTGTAAAAAAAAGTTGCGAAAATTGACTCGCACGTGATAGAGGTAGCAGACGCAGCTAGTTTAGATGCAAAATCTTTGGACATTAAAAGGTCCTGCAGTGCGTTTCGAGCAGCGCCTCACAAGCTTCTGAGCATCTGACATTCGGTCTTCTCTATGGTCTTCTCTACCATATTTTCTGTGCTGATCTAAGCAAGCGCCTTCTGGTTGTTTAAATGTGCAGTATTTAAAAGAAATCAACCACATCAATTGATAAATAATGTACAAATGAAGCAACTTACTCTTATGTTTTTGAACAATATGCGTTTCATGTAACATTATGTATACTTAACTAATTAAATAAGTTTAACAAAAATGAAAACACAGACCGACAATCTCATGTTTACAGTATTAGTAACTAATTAATACTAATAACAGGACAAAAGATGAGGATAGTGAGAAAAGAGCTTTATGTTTTTTGTTATTTTTTTGTTGTTGTTGTTTATCACATAACTATGATCCAACCAGCAATGGTGCTAACCTCCCAGGATTTTTGTGTCTTAATGAAGTCCTACAGTTACATTAACAACCTTAACAGAGCATAAAAAATTCCAACAAATCAAAGGAATCAATTCTTGAGTTAAATCAGCTTTGACTGCATATACATTTTTTAATTGCAAGAGAAAAAAAAATTGGATGGTTTGTGTTTGTTGAAATAACTTATCTTTATATTAAATTTGCAATTTAAAAACAGCCACTTAGCAACAGTAGAAAAATCTATGCACCACTCTGATGTACCAACTGACAAAGAGGGGAAAATTATAGGTACACATTTGTCCTATTATTTAGTCATTACTATACCATAAAACAGAGTAAAAAGAAATGCAGTGTAATAAAAGAGCTTGAGAGGAAAGTTGGAAATTTGTGTTTTCAAAAAGGAGCTCAAAATGGACCTCTTTATTCTGAGTTTCTGACACCCCATTTAAAATAACCTAAATGAATATAACGGTGAATAATGTAGATACTGTCTGCTGCTACCTCTCCAAAACTGTAGGTGACCGCAGACAGGAGACATCTGATTGGTCAAATCTAAGTCCACTCTACACTATGCTTGTTTCCTGTTTGGTACCTTACCGGCTTATTTGTTTGTATGACCACCATTGTGGAAAACAAATTGTGAAGTTGGACCAGCAAGAAGAGCGAGGTGCGCAAGAATGCTGGGACCCCTTTTCCACCTGGATCCCCGCTCTTTTTCGCCCTCATGTCCCTCCGTTGTTGCATAAACTTGCCCCCACTTCCTCACTGCCTCGGCCGTATCTAGACCAACAGCTAGTCCGTGATTGTCCCTTCTGCATTGTGGCGTGGAATAATATAGCGCAGACCATGCTTCAATATTGGGCATTAATCAAAAATATCTGTGAAAAGCTCACTGCGATACACTGCTGTGGGGAGTATAATCACCCCTGTATTCCTCAATGTAAACTATTTGGAGTGGGGGTTATTTAGTTACTCAATAATTTACAAATAAATGAAAAAAAACAACAACAAAAATGAAGGAATGCATGATTTTAAGATTGGTCCTCCTTGAAATAAAAAACAAAGATGAAAGCATTCATCTAGATGGCGACTACACAAACAGAACTGCTGTTCTGCAGGAGTGACAGAAACACTCAGCGGGATTAGCTTATTCATGCTGCAAACAATGTCCTTTTGTTCTACTCCAACAGTCAAAACATTACCCAAGTAGAAATCCCATTCAGCTCCCTTTCTTAAATAAAGTTATCACTTCCAGTACAAGCTGTACTCTACAGCAACGTTTGTGTTACTGAATTATCATTATTATTCTACTGGCAGGGGATCTGTAGCATGGAGGTGAGAGGACAGATTACCATGAACATCTGATCCTGGATGAATGCCAGGGAAGGTGCAAATGAAGGCAACCTGGTCTACAGGCTGCACAAAGGCTGTTTCTGACAAGAGGACACATTTAAATCCTAAACTACTCAAGAGCATTATTAATGCAGTAGAGTGACACCATCGATAAGATTTCCATTAAGACAGCAACTTGTTTTTATTGTGGGCCACTTCAAACAATAAGCCCAAGTTTATAATTCTCATTAAGAGAGAATTCACAACACCTTTTTTAAAACCAGTTAATGTTCACACCTCAGCATGAATGTCATGATTAAGGTCCAACTAAGTATACAGACTCTTCCTGAGATGGACTGGCTGTCAGACAAGAGGAAAGTGCAAAAAAAGGAAGTGCAACAAGATCTGGCAACTCATGTGTAACCAGGTTTTATATGAAAAGACAACTAGGGGCAAGGTCTATGTCTATGTATAACGCCTGCTCAAAATAGTTTGGTGATACTCTACAGATTTCAACATCTACCAACCTTTAGATTATTTACATTTAAATTGACGCTAACAAAAAAAAAAAAAAACACACACCGCTCACATTGCCTCTCTGCAACTGTTTTTAGGTGGATTAGGCCATCTTTCCTGCTTTAAAATATAAAACAACCTGCAATAATGGATAATCCTGATTATGAAAGTGGCATGGTTTTTTTTGGAGTTTTCATGTGTGCGGTCTCTGCTCAAACCAGAAAAGCCCACAACGGTGAGTTCTTCACAAGGTGCAATTTTGGTCCTCCTCCTTGGTCCTCCTCCTTGATTAACATAATTCATGGAAAGACACTAAATTAAGCCAGCAATGCTTTGATCACGCCTTTTTCCATTTCCAAAAGGGAGGATTCTAAAAATCAGGGACTCACCTGCAGTAGGCCTGAGCGATAAACCGAATATTTACCATTACCGACAATCACTATGATAACCTGTGACAATATTCTCATGTCAGTATAAGAAATAAACAAAAAGGGTTCATAGAATTATTATATAGGGTATTTGGCTCTGGTACTTAAGATCTCTGAATAGGGTGTGTAACATTAGTTGGGCTGAAAATGGCATATTTGCTGTTCTATGAGCCCTAATGCAAGCCTGGTTAAAAGACCTAGAATCAAACGACAGGATTTCTTCTTTTTATGGCATGCTTATGAATATTTAGATAAGCTGTGCGCTGATTGGTTGGTTTACAACAAGTGAAGCTGCTGAGCAAATACGCATCATAGCAACAAGCACTCACTCACTGAAACATCGAATTGTTGATATGGTAGGGTGAGCAGACGTCCTCCTTTTCCCAGACATGTCCTACTTATCATACCTAAAGAAATGTTCGGGGGGAATGTCAAAAACCGTCCGAGATTGTGCTCGACTACAGTGCAGAACGTAGTCAAAACACACCGGGCATTCGAACCGAGCCGTCGGCTCCGGGGCTGGTCCAGGAACCCCAGCGGACGGAGGTAGGGAGCCAGCGGTGGACAGAGCGACCAAACCTGACCCGGTGATGGTGGCCTGGAGACAGGGGGCCCCGTGCTTCCCCCCGCCCCCCTCCTCCAGCTGGGGACGGGCGGCTAATGGCCTATTCCACCACCAACAGTACAACCACACAAAAGGCACACTTTTGCACATATTTGGTCAATAAATGCCATTTGCTCAATAAATAATTGAAAAATAAGTTGCATTTCCGGCATGTGCAATTATTTCAAATAGAGGGGCCAGAGCAATTATAGTCATCAAGGTAAAACTGCTCTAGTTATCTTGATATTGACTGCCTAACCTGCAGGCAGTCGTAAGTGTTGCTTTTTGTGTAAGACACTGGGGAAAGATGGTAACTACCGTAACAAACAACTAATGTTTCTAATTCTACAACAACATAAAGACACATACGCCTAAGTCAAATACTTTAACTGATAAACTAGCTTTGGGAAATTATTTTACCAGCATGTTTAAATCTTGAATTTCCTTGCTCTTTAACTTAAGGTCACTTAAGGTGTAATTTTTCTTTTTTTTTCTGAAACTTAGATGAGGACAAAGAAAATGTTGAAACCATATCATCAAGCCCTAAAACACACATTTGTTAATAGCATCTATTAGAAAATAATTCAAGTTCAGATTGCAGGGCTCACTTTATTTTTTCAAACTAATACATAATTACAATGCACATCTAAAATCTATTCAGCTCAGAGTCAGACATTAAATGCTAATGTAGGAAACAAAAAAAAGCAGCACTATATGCAAAACCGTTCCCCCTCTCAGCCCCCCCAACCACCCACCCACCGCAATGTATGTTGTATGCGATGAACGGTTAGTATTGAAAAATGAAATCTCGATTGCAATGTAAATTGTAGTTGACAATAAAGTTTATTGATTGATTTATTGATTGACGGATTTTTTATTTGCCTCATTTTCAAAAGGTCAAACAGAACTTTAAGGAAGAGCATTTAGCAAGTAAGAAAATGAGTCAGCTCTCAGTGTGTCAATATTAGACAGTAGATTTATTCTTAATGAAACAGAATTAGCATTGACTGATAAAGCAAACATAAGCCAGGAAAAAATGGTGCATTAGAGAATTAACTGAGGCTGAAACTTTCCATTGAATTATGCTCAAAATTGAATTATGAACACATTGTAAAATGAGCACAGGGAAAGGAGAAGGAGGAAAGATGCTCTACAATAAGCTGAGAGAAAGCAAAGCTGCAGTGAGTTATTGCCAAAGTCCTGGCGATGTCTGATGACAATGCGTCCTGTCACGCCATCTCACTGTTCAAGACTACCCCAACCCCTTTACAATACCAATTCATCCTGTTACCAACAAAAAAATATGGAAAACTATGAAAGCACTCTTATTTTTAAATTTACTTTCACTAATAAAATCTACAAAGCTCATATTTTCAATTCAATACATTCCTCTTATTCGTATATAATGTGATTATTTTATATTCCTATTCGTATATAA